GCTTCATTAGGTACACTGTGGCTTTCCATCGGAGCTCCTTTTAGTATAGGTTTCAGCTATACTAATTAGAGCTTTCAAACACCGTTCCTGGAAGGATATTGTTTGGCGTTCCTTTTAGTTTCATATTTTTTAATTAGGAATAATCAAAAACTCAAAGTTACCGTGTCCCCATGAATAATGCGGGTATCACAAAAATGACAAAGTTTTGTTTTTAAAAAAATTGAAAAACCTTGTTTTTGAAACTCCAGACATTTGACCACATGAATCAGATAAAGATCGTCGCTGACAAATAAATATTATACAGGTAAGCTAAATATAGGCCACTGCGCCAGACCAAATCGGCCACTTAAAGACTCAAAAAATCGATACTCATAACGTAATATCTCTTAGGTTAACAATTATGTAAACCGTTATAAGCAATAAAGAAGTAGTTCCTATGCTGAAAAATAAAAAATTTTGTAATATAAATGACGAATAACTTCGATTTACCATTACGCCGTAAACAATGGAAAGATTTCGTGATCCCCAATAATAGAAAAAAAAAAAAGTCTTTATGTGGGTGTTAGGATTTTTAAACAACTAAATGTCAATGTTGATGCTTACATATCCCTTAGCATAGCTTAATATACTATTATGTGCCATAAAAAGCAATAGCTATACTTTGAAATCATAATTTTTAGGATTAAAATGATCGATATCTTAAAAACGCCATATCTCCGTTAATAATGCAGATACGGCGAAAAGGACGCTATTTCGTGATTACCGAAAATAAAAAAATCAAAAATTAAAATTGCAGGTGTTGGGCTTTAAACATCAACTAAATATCGTTGCTGACACTTGAATATCTCTAAGGTAAGCTTCATGTACAGTTGTGAGCCATAAAAAAGCAGCGGATATATTTTTAATTCATTATTTTTATAAATTAAGAATATCGAAATCTTAAAAACGCCATATCTCCGTAAATGATGCAGATACGGCAAAAAGGACGCTATTTCGTGATCACTGAAAATAAAAAAAACAAAATTTTTAATTTCAGGTGTTGGGCTTTGTACATCAACTAAATATCGTTGCTAACGCTCGGATATCCCTAAGCTCAGCTTCATGTACAGTTATGAGCCATAAAAGAGCAGCGAAAATAGTTTAAATTCATTATTTTTAAAATTAAAAATATCGAAATCTTAAAAACGCCATATCTCCGTAAATAATGCAGATACGGCGAAAAGGACGCAATTTCGTGATCACCGGAAATAAAAAAATTAAAAATTAAAATTGCAGGTGTTGGGCTTTATACATGAACTAAATATCGTTGCTGACGCTCGGATATCCCTCAGCTCAGCTTCATGTACAGTTACGAGCCATAAAAGAGCAGCAGATATAATTTAAATTCATTATTTTTAAAATTAAAAATATCGAAATCTTGAAACGCCATAACTTCGTAAATAATGCAGATATGGCGAAAAGGACGCTATTTCTTGATCACCGAAAATAAAAAAATTAAAAATTAAAATTGCAGGTGTTAGCCTTTTTACATCAACTAAATATCGTTGCTGACGCTCGGATATTCCTCAGCTCAGCTTCATGTACAGTTATGAGCCATAAAAGAGCAGCGGATATATTTTTAATTCATTATTTTTGAAATTAAAAATATCGAATTCTTAAAAACGCCATATCTCCGTAAATAATGCAGATACGGCGAAAAGGACGCTATTTCGTGATCACCGAAAATAAAAAAATTAAAAATTAAAATTGCAGGTGTTAGCCTTTTTACATGAACTAAATATCGTTGCTGACGCTCGGATATCCCTCAGCTCAGCTTCATGTACAGTTATGAGCCATAAAAGAGCAGCGGATATATTTTTAATTCATTATTTTTGAAATTAAAAATAACGAAATCTTAAAAACGCCATATCTCCGTAAATAATGCAGATACGGCGAAAAGGACGCTATTTCGTGATCACCGAAAATAAAAAAATTAAAAATTAAAATTGCAGGTGTTAGCCTTTTTACATGAACTAAATATCGTTGCTGACGCTCGGATATCCCTCAGCTCAGCTTCATGTACAGTTATGAGCCATAAAAGAGCAGCGGATATATTTTTAATTCATTATTTTTGAAATTAAAAATAACGAAATCTTAAAAACGCCATATCTCCGTAAATAATGCAGATACGGCGAAAAGGACGCTATTTCGTGATCACCGAACATAAAAAAATAAAAAATTAAAATTGCAGGTGTTAGCCTTTTTACATGAACTAAATATCGTTGCTGACGCTCGGATATCCCTCAGCTCAGCTTCATGTACAGTTATGAGCCATAAAAGAGCAGCGGATATATTTTTAATTCATTATTTTTGAAATTAAAAATAACGAAATCTTAAAAACGCCATATCTCCGTAAATAATGCAGATACGGCGAAAAGGACGCTATTTCGTGATCACCGAACATTAAAAAAAAAAAAATTTTTATCGCAGTTGTTGGGCTTCATACATGAACTAAATATCGTTGCTGACGCTTGGATATCCCTCAGCTCAGCTTCATGTACAGTTATGAGCCATAAAAGAGCAGCGGATATATTTTTAATGCATTATTTTTAAAATTAAAAATATCGAAATCTTAAAAACGCCATATCTCCGTAAATAATGCAGATACGGCGAAAAGGACGCTATTTCGTGATCACCGAACATTAAAAAAAAAAAAATTTTTATCGCAGTTGTTGGGCTTCATACATGAACTAAATATCGTTGCTGACGCTTGGATATCCCTCAGCTCAGCTTCATGTACAGTTATGAGCCATAAAAGAGCAGCGGATATATTTTTAATGCATTATTTTTAAAATTAAAAATATCGAAATCTTAAAAACGCCATATCTCCGTAAATAATGCAGATACAGCGAAAAGGACGCTATTTCGTGATCACCGAAAATAAAAAAAATAAAAATTAAAATTGCAGGTGTTGGGCTTTAAACATCAACTAAATATCGTTGCTGACGCTCAGATATCCCTAAGCTCAGCTTCATGTACAGTTATGAGCCATAAAAAGGCAGCGGATATATTTTTAATTCATCATTTTTGAAATCAAAAACAACGAAATCTTAAAAACGCCATATCTCCGTAAATAATGCAGATACAGCGAAAAGGACGCTATTTCGTGATCACCGAAAATAAAAAAAATAAAAATTAAAATTGCAGGTGTTGGGCTTTAAACATCAACTAAATATCATTGCTGACGCTCGGATATCCCTAAGCTCAGCTTCATGTACAGTTATGAGCCATAAAAGAGCAGCGGATACAATTTAAATTCATTATTTTTAAAATTAAAAATATCGAAATCTTAAAAACGCCATATCTCCGTAAATAATGCAGATACGGCGAAAAGGACGCTATTTCGTGATCACCGAAAATAAAAAAATTAAAAATTAAAATTGCAGGTGTTGGGCTTTAAACATCAACTAAATGTTGTTGCTATTGCTTGGATATCTCTTAGATTATCTCCGTTAACTGTTATGAGCCGTAAAAAAGCGGTGGATGTACTTTCAATTCGTAACTTTTAGAATTAAAATGATTGAAATCTTAAATTTGCAATATTTTAGTAAATAAAGCAGATACAGTGAAAGGATCGCTATTTCGTGATCACTGAAAATTATACTTTTTTTTTAGGCGTTTGGTTTTCAAAAAAACTAAAAAGAGGTGATGATGTTTGAATATTTCGTAAGTTAATCTAAATATTATACAGGTTATAGCTAAATATGCTACATGAGTTTAAAAAAAATCAGTGCGTGATTTAAAATTTACCGCTTTGTTGGGTGAAAATTGGTTTGTTTAGAAATTTATCATGTTTGTATTTCATGTGGCCTTGCAACTATACGAAATTTATAAATGAATTGTTTGAGTTGATATACTGGGATCAGCTGGCCCAGGCAACTGTTCTCGAAGTACTTGCTGTCTTGACACCTATTTATGTGTGTTGCTACAATAACCTGGGCTTTCTATTTCTTGGCTCACTTTCAAGTCGATTAAGTCATAAGATAATGAGTTAGTTTATTGGGAAGAAGACGCGATTAGAGGAAAAACTGGAAATGAGAAGGGATTTAAACCTTTGAACCAACATATTGTTGTTTTTTTAATAGCCAATTTTTTGGTTCAATTTTCATTTTCTGTTTCGATTCTCAATTACTTATTGTTTATAAAATGCAATTTTCATTCACTCGATTTTTCCGTGTGTGTCTTTCATGTAGATTTTTGCATTATTCATTCGATCGAAATAGAGAATTACCGATTTCCCTCGATTTTTGTGTTTTCTTTATTACTACGTTCAAAAAAATGTACACCGCAGCCGATAAGTATATTGATAAAAACAGGTTCGCACCACGTCGGCGTTACAATGAATATTCGTATACGCGTACCCCGCATGGTTTTTCTTTTCTTTCTACTTTGGTTAATTCTCAACAACGAAAAAACTGGTTCTTATTGCGTCAGGTGCGCCCCGAGATAATATATAAATATACCTATATTCGCATATCATAAAAATGGAGTTACGTAAAAACTACCTGACCCGTGTCCATCGGGTATGAAAATTTTCTTTGTTCTGCTGCCGTATAGTACATATCCCTCTTTAATTGCAGGGTTCATGCCGAGTGCAGCTTTTAGAGACCTCCACTCAACTGAAAGCACTTTTTTTCAATCGACCGCACGCGTAGGTGCAAGTAACACTGTGATTTTGAATAATTTCATAGTTTTTTTTTTTTTACTGTGTATACTCGTTTGTACATGTATACACTTGTACGGCGTACAAAGAAAAAGAAAAGGAAAAAGAGGAAGAAAAGAGAAATAAATTTTCAAGCGAAACCTGTACGTATACGATAAATAAACTATGTACTTTTATTGATCATACAGCGAGTCATGGTGCAACAGTGGGATGTATAAAATATATGACATGTACAACACGTGGTAATGATGATAAAGTGACTTTTGTGACGATGATGATGTGATAGTTGGACGGGTGTTCAGTGAACGACGAGACTGCCGGACTCCTGGTCCGAGTTGGGGGGCGTGAGCTGTTGCTCGACGCAGTCCATAGACTTGCCGTGGGCATTGTCGTTGGCGCGGCGTTGTTGGACCAGGACGCATTTTTTGTAGTGGGTGCGCATGTTGCTGCTCTGGGAGAAGCTGAGCCGACAGGAGGGACAGGCGTAGGGTTTGGTCCCAGTGTGGTAATTGATGTGCGTCTTGAGGTGGTGCTTCTTGGTGAAGGCTTTCGAGCATAGGGTGCACTGGTAAGGCTTGAGGCCCGAGTGTAGGCGCGTGTGGAGGGTCATGTTGGACCGGTCGGCGAAGGCCTTGTGGCACACTTGGCACTCGTAGGGCCTCTCGCCCGAGTGGGTGCGCAGGTGTTGCTTGAGCAGCATCTTCCGGGAAAAGGCTTTGCCGCACTGGTCGCACTGGTGGGGCTTGACGCCCGTGTGGATGCGCGCGTGCATGTTGTACGCCACCCGTTGGTTGAAGCTCTTGCCGCACTCGGCGCAGGCGTACTCCTTGCGGTTCCGGTGGATCTTCATGTGGGAGCTCAAGTAGCCCCGATCGTTGAACGACTTGCCGCACTCCGGGCAATTCGCCGCGAACTCGCGCGTACCCTCGTGCACGGACTTGTGGTACTTGTAATTCCGCAACTGCGAGAACTCCTTGCCGCACTCCGTGCAACGGAATGGCTTTTCGCCCGAGTGCGTGCGCTGGTGCACCTGCGCCACAACGACAATAATTTTATTATTGACCCCCGCGTGTGATTGATAATCGTTTACTTATATACAATAGCGCGCATCAACGCGTGGATATCCGAAAAAGTCCACTCTCGCCGCCCACCACCAACTTTCGTTGGCAAATTTATGGTATATATTTCCTCGTCTCTCGCGCGTAAATAATTTTACATCTCGTTTATACGAGGCGATCGTCGGTCCGATGGAAAAGTCGCGAAAATTGCCCAATGTTGTTGTTGTTTTTTTTTTTTTTTTTCTTTTGTAAAACGAGGAAATATAGGCATAAAAAAAAAGAGTAATGGAGCTTCCCACGCGTGTGTGTGTGCATCTCCTCGGATATTAAACGGCGCTCTCGATCCAAAAGCCTTTTACTGCGAGTATATCGGAGAGGTGATTTCGCCGCGGTCCGAGTGCACTCGCCTGCCCCCCTTTTTTTTTAATTAATTAAATTCACTTTGCCGAACCGCCCCACTCGCAAGTCTTCCGAGCTTACATTTGCGTAGACGCCCGGAAATCGGTTAACTGCTCCCATAAAACGTGAAATATCGTCCCTCGGCGAGATAAAGCGGGAAAAAAAAGACCCCGTAAAAGTCCCATATCGTCAAGCGCACGTAAACACACGTGTATGTGATCGTGTATACCTTGAGCGAAGCCTTTGTGACGAAGGACTTTGGGCACAGCTCGCACCGATGCTGCTCCGGTTGTTGCTTGTTGTTGTTGTTGTTGTTATCGTCGCTGGCGTTGTTGTTCCTATCGTTGACGATTAGCGCAGCTCCGTCGTGTTTCCCCGATTCCTCGACGACGATCGGCACGGTCTCCGGGGAATCGATACCGCAGAGTCGACTCACGGGCAGCGAGAGCTCGCACCTGGACCCTGGGGACGAGGCCGCGTCGACCGGCTCCTGTAATCGATGTTGTACAATATATACCGCTTCGGCTTTTTTGCGTTAAGCCGGTCGTTTGTATGATGAAAAAAAAAAAAAAAACAAAGCACCAAATGAAGTGAAAGAAGAACATCAACGATACGGTAACGATACTCCTTTCCCCTCTGATGTGACAATCGACGAGCGTGAATAATTTATGAGAGAGAGAGAAATGTAAGTATATAAATACGTACGTGTATGCCTGCCATAGTCAAGTTTTTCATTGTGACGTTTAATTGTCAAGGTCGGGTTATTTATGCTATGGGTGTGGCCCATACCTATTATTAGTATATTCATGGTGGGGAGGAGGAGGGAGGAAGAAACAATGACGATCCAGTGATTTATCACCGTGTGCGATGTTTAAACGAGCGAAACGATGTAACTGTTAAATTTGCGGGAGTAGGTATTATGGTGAATGTGTATACGATTGTTTTCTAACGAATTTCATCGGTCGCTTCGTTCGCGATACGATGAGTTTGGTCCCCTATTTTTTTTAGGGAATGTCGTGGGCGCGTCACGGATAATTGTTTCCTCTTGAATTCGATGTGGTTTTTCGCGCCATCAGGTGTATGGGGTATCCGATTTCAAGAGAGAAAGAGGGAGCTTTATATTTATGTACACGCGGTAGCAATAAAACGGACGCAGTAAAGATTTCGACTCGGATCAAGGATTGGATAGTGGAGGAAAAAAAAAAAAAAAAAAAAAAAAAAAAGAAAAAGCATTCACGACTCTACCCCCTCTCTGTAGAGAGAGGTAAAAAGAGGATCGTATACTCCGTCCCGTGTTATCGCGTACACGTGTAGAAAATAAGAGAGATTCACTTGTCCGAGTGGCGTCAAGATCCAACCATGAGCTGAAAAGTGCGCGCGCGGCGATCAAATTGATTTGCTCGGCGGTTAGTATATCCGTTATGTATACAGGTGTATACTATACACGTGGATTTTGGCGATGGGCGTCACTATCAGCGCGATAAATAACACTGTACACTGGCTCGGGGCGTGATATATATATATATATATATATCCGAGCGCAGATATATAAGTAGGTGGTGTATATACTTACGCCGAGGGGCTGCTCGTGTAACGGGACAGCAGGGGTAGCGTCATTGTCCTTCTCAGGGAGGCACGGCTGTTGTAGGACGATGGGCTGGAGCTTGGGCAAGTGGTGGGGCCTGAGTATTTGGCTCCAGGGCGAGGCGGTGACGACGCGATTGGCCACCCGTTGTCTCCTGGCGTGCAATGGTCCCCAGTCCGTGTCGCCGCAACAGCAGCAGCTCAGGTCCTCGGCCGGGGCCTCGTCGTCGCTGCTGCTGTGCGAGAAACCGGGCAGGTAAACCCGGAGGAGCTCAACCACCCGCAGGAAAGCCTCGAACCGGCCACGGGGCAGGGTGGCACTCCCAGTGTACACGAGGCCGAGCAGGGCCCCCAACTCCGGGGCCTCCACCTCCGCCAGGATCAACGTCACTGGCTCGCAGTTGCTACTCGGGCAGCTGCTGTGCGCCAACAGCACGTCCTACGGACACGTCATTTACATACATCGGCCATTCTTTTATCACGAGATTCATAAAATACAGGGACATAATGGACATTGTAACATTCCTTATTTTTTAATTGTTTTTATTTCTTTCGCATGCGAGAGCTCGCTTGCTTCTATATATTGAAATACTGAATAATGATAGCAAATTTGTCCTATCGAAACAACATTTGGGCTTTTATGATGTCCGATTCCCTGATTTGACGCAATTTCGCAAACGGTGTATATACACTCATAAATGAAAAACAAAAAACATCATTTTTTACAGTGGTAGGTATATACTTATATATACTCGTGTACCGTAAGTAGCACTGCGCGGCGATTATTATCGTGTCAGAGGCTTTTAGCACGAGGTGATGTCCTTAATATTTTTTTTTATGTACCTTGCGGTGATGGCTAAGTGACGGCGAGAGTCTGCCTACACTGATGATCGCAGACAAGAGAGACGAAAGGAAAGAAAAACAAATGCGAGCCACGAAAGCGGTGACGTTTTCCACGGAAGACGACCATCCGAGGGATATATACTATTTCGAGTGCAAGGCAAACACGCGTATATACATATATGTATTCTCTTCCAATGAACGCAGGCACACACCTATTCGCGCGCGTGTCCACCTCTGACGATGATGGATTTTCTATGGGAAATCGTCGCGGGCGACTTGAGTCGTGGTAAGCATATACAGTTAATAATATATCTATATAGCGCTTTTAAAGTGCAGGCGGCTCATTTGTCCGATCGTCAAGACCGTATGGGCATTCGTCTTACTCTTTTGCCGTATAGCTGAAACGCGTCCACTGTACGAGTGTATAATATGGATACCGATCTCATACCGATCCAACGCGTGGACAAGTTGTACGTACAAACACGTGGAACGCGACGACCGCGCGTAGGTACGCGCACACTTTTCGCTAAACAATACGCTTTGTGACTCTCCTTTTTTTCTTTTTTTATTTTTTTTTTTTTTATTTCAACACTCGTTTATACATATAGGTAGACACACGGGATTAACTTTCTTCTCGCTACAATACTCCCCCATCCGTAATCACTCGGAGCATTTATCCGCGTTGAAAGACCATCAAATTTATCGCATTGCCTCCCATTCAGATCCCTGTATGACCATTTTACCCATACGGAAGGTAATACCTATTACTTTTACGAGCAATTAATCGCGGAATACGCATGATACGTTAGGTAACGATCACGGCTGGCGCCGATTTTTCCCCGAGCCAATTAAAATTCCCCGCGCCCGGCGGCGAACAATCATCCATAAATCACGAGGTGCGACATGGAAAAAAAAAAAAAAAAAAAAAAAAACTACTTACTCGTCGAGCTTTGGTTTTTGCTTGTGTGTTTTCTCCGAAGTGTCGCGTGGCTCGCGCGTACAAGAAATGATCGTTATAATATGCATCAAACGCAGAGACACGCGCACGTTGCTATTGTAAGCGAGTTAAAATGGAGCACCGAAACGGGATTGTGCAGTGATGACCAAAGGATGAATAATCCGCAGTACCGGTACGTACATTGTGCTCGGGGAGGTATTCACCTCGCTAAATGGCTGATGTTAAGCAGCGATGATGCACAGTCCCATTGTTTGGCTTGGGAAAAAAAAAAAAAAAAAAAAAATTTTTTAACGCATCAGACAAGAAATACAACTGCGGCGTATACCTGAGTCCTGTCTCCCTACATCATAAAGCCCGAGGAAAGCTGGCACAGTGCGTATACGTATACATATATAAAATACCGTACCAATAAATCACCCAACAGCCGTGTGCTGACCGATTTTATTGCCGGTCATCCATATTACATGCACTGCCACCCATACGAATACACGAGTATGTATATATTGTAATAAACCGCACCAATCCCCATAACTCTTTGACAAATTATATTCTCGCGCATTATACATACGTGTACACGTGTAGCTTCGTTTTCTTTCGATATCTTGCCTCGTTGCCAGACAGATAGTCACGCCCCAATAAATGTGCGCGCACTTTTGTGTATATAATTTTCTTTGGCTATACACGCGCCTTAATTTATTAGAGGAAATACGTATGTACATATTCTCCGCAACCTTACATTTCCCGATGATTTTTCCTCCTCCTCGTGTGTGTGGACTATATTAATATTGTAGTCGTGAAAAATGGCACTCTGCAGAAAAGAAAAGGCCAACCGTGGAGTCACTACCTTCGGAAAGAGACCAATGGGCACAATAACACGGGCGAGGCGTTAAAAATGACCGTTGTTTCGTTGCACTGATATTCATACATATATGTATGGGTACCGATACACTGCACGGGGGCCACATTTATACTCGCGTTGTAGAGATACAAAAGTACCGAGGATAAATCAAAAGGAGAGCCGAGTCGGCAAGACGGAAAGGCTACTTAACGTTTCGATGGCTCGGACGAATGTTTTTTTTTGTTTTCCTCTTACGCGAAAACTCGCGCGGGGATATTTATATGGTTCAACTTTTGAATGAGTGCGCGCGTAATACAAAGTGTCCAGGGAGATGCGAAAATGGAGATATGTGGCACGCGCACATATATGTTTGCGTTCTCTTATACATATACATATATTATTTTACAGGTGATGCGGGGGGTATAATTATTATACAGTGACCTACTCCTATTGCTGTATACAATATTACACGCTCGCTTGGATTTTCGACTGTATACAGCCGGGGATATAATATAGCGAGGCACTCTCGTGTTGAGACCCAAGATTTATATTATAATATATACATGCAGCTGCACGCAAGTCCATCTCTTGTATACCTTATCTCGTGTAGCCTCCGTCCGTGTGCCGCACACTTTACTTTCATTTCTTTTATATATATCAAGGTATACACATCGGACCGATACTGCCGTTACCCTCCCTATGTTTTATATATCATGTGTGTGTGTGTATATATAAGAGCGTCAATTTTCCTTTCCTTTTAAATTCGAGGCTTTTATTGCTGCCCGTCCGTCCATCCACCTGTCTGTATAGGGATTGCAGTGCGCGGCGTGTGTGCTCTGCATGTGCATGCGGTCCGTGCCGGGAGAGAAAATAATACAAAAAAATAAAAGGAAAGAGATTGCGCGACAGCGGCATCAGAGTATAAAATTGCCTTTCTTTCCACCCCCCCCCCCCCAATCCCATTTTGGTGGATAACAACTACTGCATCGTGTACCTTTTTTTTTTTTTTATTTATTCTGTTTCGCGCTCTCGCGTGTCGTTAAGTTCGTTTTTGTTGTATGGGTTTTCAAGGGTATTCTCGTACGAGGCTTTTTTTTTGCCAGTTGTAATTTGATTAGAGTATGTTACATCCGCACTCAAAGTTGGTGTTTTCAATATAATATGTGATGTAAAATGATTTTTTTTTTTTTTTCCTTTTTTTGTTTTCGATGTAAAAATAGTCCTCGATGGATAGTGCAAACAACTTCTTATGGTGTACGTTACAGGAAAACTCGAGAAGACTTGGGCACAATTATTTCATGGGTATTTTCAAATACTTCAATAGAAAATTCTATTTACTAAAAATATTTTTTATTTATCGTTGTGCTGTTTTAAGAAAAAAAAAAAAAGTTTTTTTCCAACGGATGAGTACAATAGCTTAAGAATCACAGTTTGCTGTGAGGTATTCAAACACTTGGACTAACATTTTTCGTCTAATGTACGACCGTACATGAATGGAATAAATTAACGAATGCCATTGGTAGATTTTTTCATTTTAAACAATTACATCTTTTGAATTCACATCTTAACCATTTTTTTTTTTTTTTTTTTTNTTTTTTTTTTTTTTTTTTTTTTTTTTTTTTTTTTTTTTTTTTTTTTTTTTTTTTTTTATACCACATCAATACCATCAGCGAAGTCAATTACATTTGGTCAGTGATCGTTTTTTGATTCGTTGCGATGCACAAGTTTAATTTGCACTGTTTTAATTGAGTGAAAATTTAGTTTGAATCGATTACTATTCAATAGTTATACTACATTTACATAAACAAGGTGCAATGAAAGGTGGCGACGATTATCCGCGCCAATCCTCTCCACGCATGCTTTTTTTTTTTTTTTTTTTTTTTTTTTCCATACGGTATAGCGCATCGGGCAAACGTTTGAATGTACAATCAAGCAAGGAGAGATAAAACCAGTAGCGATAAATGCCATTTACGAGCAATCTAACGGTGGGCGATCGCGGCACTCCCAATAATGTAATTGCGTGACTTTATCATTCGCGCCATCTCCTGATAATATGAGTTTTATTGTTTTTTAAAGCTCACGCGCAAATTAAATGTTGTAGGATGCATTCGCGTGTCTATTGGTATTTTGAGTTGAATGTGTGTCATGTGTATATACTTGTACAATCGTGTTACACGGCAGATGACCGGTTCGACGGCTTTTGTCTTGGCGCTATATTATATATCCATACCCCTAATACATCAGACCGAGGCTTATAGACTGCATTTATTCACTCTTGTCCCACTGTCGAATGCACGCGAGTGTTAATTTTAATCAAAGAGCGCAACATCACAAGCTTATAATATTATACTCTTTTTTCTATACGTACACGTACAGAGCTCACGGTGCATATATAATATAATTTACGTGCTTATGTTGCGTACGGGCAGCCGATTTTGACGTTCATCCGACTCGTAAATTCACAAGATTAACCGCGGAGATGCTGCAGCCCGGAGTTTTATCTTACAGGATCTTTCGAGACATCCAGTATATATAATGCTTGCGACTCTGGATAATTTTTCTTCGATTTTCACGTATTTATACACACGATGCGTATACCAAGCGTGATTTATGCATTGTATATTATACGCCCGTGCCTTTTAATCGCTTCTTTTATATGCGTTTTACGATTTTCAACCGCATCTCGGGCTTTTCTCTTTTTTTTTTTTTTTCAATCCGAACTTACAAGTGGGTGTATACAGTTCATTAAGAGCTTAGCCGATTTCCGCGCCCGTCAACATCCATGCGCGCATCACCCGACAATGAGGATAATAAGCTTCCCCAATGATAAAGGAGCGATTAAAAAGAAAAAAAAAAAAAAAAAAAATACGGCATAAATAGGTATATATGTATACGTTAGATTGGATTATTGGTTACAGTGTAAGCGCGCGATAATTTTTCAGGGCCGATGTTTGCCGTTCCGGCTTTCTTTTCAAACAGCGACTGTACGAGTACTTGCTGCATATACATTGTGCACGCGTAACATTTTCTCGGTGGAGCGGCCAAGTACTGCGCTACTGATGTATATACGGACCTGCAAGTACGGACTAGCGGCGGAGAGGACGAGCCGATGAGCCATGAACCTTTGCCCACCGGAGCAGCAGAGCGCGACGTCGGCGAATCTCTGGGACAGCATGGCCTCGCGCAAAAACTCGCTCGAGTCGGGGGTGCGCCCCGAAAGCTTCATCACTTCCATTATCGAGTCGTATCCTTTGAGAAAACGACGATTCCTCCGCAACTATACCGATCGTCAGCCAAGTAGCCGGTAGAATTTCATTGTACACGTAATTTGAAAAAAAAAAACCAATGGTATGTAGTTTCACTCGCCAAAATTTGCCGATTTTTTGGTTTTTGTGGAAAACCGCAAGCGCGCCGGTATAAAAGAGGAGCTCGCCCGGCCCGGTTCGGAGCTCCGAGTTTAGTGATAGCACTCGTCGTTTTGCTGTATACGGAGGCTCTCTCGTGGAGCCCAACGGCAGCCTCCCGTCGGTGTGTTCTCGCGTGCCGGGGAAAGAGAGAGAAAAAAAAAAAAAGTCCGAGAGCTACTCCCGATCTCCCGTGTGTGTACACACGTATATACACACGCGTACAGAGAGAAGCCGGGCCGATTTTCTCCCCCCCCCCCCGCCGCGCTGTATAAGAAAGGTGTATATACCTCTCATATGAGGGCCACAGCTTTGGTTATCCTGTATATAGCACATCACGTATAAACGTCGATCTCCTTCCTCTCGGTCTTGCAGGACGTCGTTCGCTGTAAAACAGAGTAAGCAATCGATCCAAGTTAATAGTTGCCGCTGCAATTCGCGCACCTATATAGGTACAAGTATATACTACTGGCTCCGATAACAGGCAAATAATGATGATATACCGCGTGGTGGTTAACGGCCGATTAACACCCTCGCGCGCGCCTGCGATCTATCGCGGAAACCTCAAATTAGATTTTCTTTGCTCTCATTGTTGCCCGTGTGGGATACATTTGCTGTACGCGGGGAAAAAAAAAATCGGTCTTCTCTTCGATAGCTTTCTAACGGCGCCCGAGGAATTATTGAAATTAGAAACGAGAAGGTGGTAAGTATATATATATACATGTATATCTTGGAAATAAGCCGGCCGGCCGGCTGGTCATGGGGGGGGGACTCGTCAAAAATTTGAATAAACAAACGACGCGACTTAAGTGTATATTATATCTATACTTTGAATGTAACGAGAGACAATTTGTAATATGAATACACTGCTGTATGTAATAATATTCATACACACACCTGTGTTGTGCCTCGTGGCGACAAATTCAAATTTTGTACAATTTATTACCGCAGGGCATAAAATGTTACATATAGTTATACGAGCGCGTGTGTTATGAGGCAACGCGTTTCATTTTGGTTTTCACCAAATGTAGAATTTTATACAGCTTTAATGGATGACTTTGTAGGTATTATACCGTCGACACAACGATCGATGTAACGTATATACATGTATGGAGTAATATTATAATATGCATATAGAGTTGATATTTTTAATAGTATACTTTTTAGAAACACGTACAATATGCCAGATTTGGACGTGCTGTAACACTCTCGTTGCCGTATGCACTTGGTGCGAGCTTTCGTTATACCTACATATAGAAAATCTATCGAGTTTCTTGCGTCATCCCAATGTATACATGATAATATGTGATATAATTATTACCCTTTGTTGCATGAAATATTGTTCGTTGCGTTGTTACAAAAAAGTAATTTCAAACGATTCGCTGGCAATAATAATATATTCCATTCGAGGCGATAAGGGGAAAAAAAAAATTCGAAGCGCTTCAAGGAAACTATAAATATATACATACATATAGCAGATCGTGATGAAATTAAAATAATGAGTATATGTATTTCGTGGGTATATAGTTTTTCGATAATCAAAAAACAACGACACAATTATTTGTCGAAATGGAACGGGGAAACTAAGCTGCAATTATTTTATCATTCGAAAAACAAAGAGGTTGTACTCTATAGACGCACCTAACCCATATACTTTTCAAAGAGCCACGAGAAGGGGAAGGGCGAAATTACTGCAACTGCAGCAACATCGGATTGAATCGTCGGACACGACGGGATTAATTTCTTATTAAATGTAATTGCGTCGTCCGCGAGTGGCCCCCTCCGGGGGAAAGCTGCAGGCTTCCTTATCCATTGTCTTGGAGTGCTGGGATGTCAAAAAAAATTTTAATCGAATCTCTTGGCACAAAAGAGAATCGAGGGTATCGAGATCATCTCTCTCTCTCTCCACGACGGATACAATAACTATTTTTACACGTGGTATCATTATTATTATGTCGGTGGCTCATCAGAAAAATTTCCGAAAGTCCACACTTTTTTCGCCTCTTTTGCGGGAAAATACCTGATTTATGATTGCTTCGGATATCAAAGATAGACATCGCGGTTGTTTGGAACTTTCATTGTAAGTATGTATAGTGTTACAGTCAATAATCTGTCTCGTTCTCGTGTTTTTTTCTTTAAGGGTATGAATTTTTATTTGCGTTCACAAGTACTTATTCGTTAACAGGTGTTTTCTCTACACAAAATCATGTTTCCACGCAAATATCTTTTACTTATGGTAATTATTGAAAAAGTCAGAATTATCAATTACTTAGTAATAATCACTTTATCTGTGATGCATACCTACTGCATAAGTAATACTTGTTCGTTTTTGTATGTACGCGTAACGATTTTTGGTTCTCAAAATTATTGCAGAAAATGTATTATGGCATCGCACTCTATCTTATGTTTGCCAAATCATATTGCAGCTCTTACGTTTTATACTTACGACGTGATGGTACTGTCACTTTCTACTCTGCCGTCAGTAAAGATTTTGACTAGCGAAAGCGACCGGACAAAAAATATAAACTTAAGTACGTGAATTCAAACGTCTCGTAGAGAACGTTTTCTTTTTTTATTTAAAGTATACTTAACGTTCATTACTTTTATTAAAAATTAAAAAAATGAGGTACGGACAATTAGTGATTGGACCGGCAGGCAGTGGCAAGGTAATCACTTTAAATTTTCATTAAATTTACGCATCTAACCTAAGTAGCGATGATACGAAAAACAAACTGTTTAAAAAGTAAGTACAAATCATATTCAAAAATACTTACCCTCTTGTATTTTTATTTTAGTCCACGTACTGTTCTATAATGCAAAAACATGCTGCTGCCGACAGAAGAACAATTGACGTTGTCAATCTCGATCCTGCAGCCGAACACTTTGATTATGACTGTCTCATTGATATCAGAGAGCTTATTTCTGTGGACGATGTTGCAGAAACTCTGAATTTGGGACCCAATGGTTCTCTGGTGTATAGTTTTGAGTGAGTTTTTCTTTTCAGAAAAAATCTCCAACTAATGCTAAATCAATTGTTTAAGTAGAGTAAATTTTACTTTTTAGATACTTGATAAAAAATTTGTCTTGGCTCAAGGATGAACTGAAAGATACCGACGATGATTACATTATCTTTGACTGTCCTGGACAATTGGAGTTGTATACGCACATGACAGTTATGAAAGACTTGATCACTGCTTTGCAAGACTCCAATTTCCACTTATGTGTGGTGTTTTTAGTTGACAGTCAGTTCTTGGTTGATGCATCAAAATTTTTGTCCGGCACAATGGCTGCACTGACGGCTATGATTAATTTGGAATTGCCTCACGTGAATGTTCTCAGTAAAATGGATTTGTTGTCAAAAGCTGCTAGGAAACAGTTGGACATGTACTTGGAACCGGATCCAATGAATTTACTTGCTGAAGAAGATGACGACCATTACAGCAAGCTCACGCAAGCACTTGGTAGAGTCATCGAAGATTACAGCTTGGTCAGATTCTTACCACTAAATATTAAAGATGAAGAGAGTATAGCAGATATAAAATTGACAGTTGATAATATTATTCAGTATGGCGAGGAAGAAGATGTAAGAATGAGAGACTTTGATGAACCTGATCCTGAAGATGATGACTAAATATGTTGAAATTTTTTATAAATTGTAAAAAAGCTGTAAATACAAAAATGTAAGTTTTTATAAATTATTTTTTTTTAAATCGTTACTTTTATAATCACCTGGGTATCTTGTAACCGCGATTTTTTTTATCAATAATAATTCGAAACTGAGTTATGGAACACATGCAACGAGTAAAGTAAAATTTAAAAAAAAACTACAATCATGATATACACAAACTATAGTAGTCCTGTATCAACGGGAACGTATGTGACGATTATTATTCTAATTTACAAATGATTAACAAAAACAATCGACTGTACAATTTTGAAATAAAAAGTTTTATTGCAAAAATATAATAATCAATAAATACTTAAACCTATTTAAAACTATGATTCATTAGAAGATGACTGTTGATTCATGGTTCTTTTTTCATGATCTTGTTTGTGTTTTTCCAAAAAGTTCTTAAATGATTCAGCTTCTTTACGTTCATCTTCATCTACTTCAGTGGCATTTTCCGTACCTTCTTCATCTTCACTTGATTCATTTGCTGGGTGCTTCAAATAAATATCAGATATTTCTCTTCCACTATTGACTGTTGTAATGAGAGGAACCTGTTCTCCAGAAGTAGATTTTGCTGCACTCAACAATTGCTGTTCTTTTTTTTTCTGCTGTTCCTTCACTTTTTTATCCCGAATTTGTTGCCACTTAACTCGGTAGTGTCTATTAGAAAAAAAATTGTATTTTCATAAGTGTGTTGGTAAAAAAAAAAAAACTCATTGTAATATCTTACTCGTAATACTCCTTCCTAGCATTAGTAACAAGTGTAAGAAAGTTTGAAATTCCAGTTCCTGTTATCGATGAAACTCCGCAACAGAGTAGATTATTGTAGAATTCATCAAGAGCAAGTGCCATACTGCGTGTTAAATTACTGATGTAAGACGTTTCGGACTCCAGTACCTCTTGAAACGCTTCAAAGTCTTGCATCCATTCAATGGCATAGCTGTGATCCACTATATCAGTCTAAAAATTAAATTCTCATAATTACTTTTTCATAGATACAAATGAGATACAATTTTTTTTCCTTTACTTACTTTGTTCATTACCACAATCAAAGGCAACTTGTTAGTTTTGTATAAAATAGAGCAAGCATACAGCATATTGGACATAAATGTAACAGGCTTGACACTTCGAACAGTGTCCATAACATAAACAATTACAGTGGGAAAATGAGATGCCAATGCTTCCGTTATAATTGCACCACTGGCTGACCAAGTGAAAACCTCAATTTGACCTGGTGTATCTATAACTACATATTTGTGATTTATTCCTGCTTTTTTCACGAGATCTATGACCTGATCAAATTTAGTTGAAAATAAATTTAAGGCCGTGACGATTCCTCCATTTGGTCCTAAACTATATTGTTTCATGACTTCTTTGTAATTGACTGTATCTCTTATATCTGCAGTTTCAAATAAAAACTTAAACATCTGATGAAATAAAAATTATACATCAAATAATAATAACCAGTGCTCAAAATCATAAATACCAATATTAGCAGGATAAGGAACTTCGTTGCATGCAGGGTCCAAGTTAATAACGTAGGGTTTATCGCCGTCGTACATTTTAGTTACAAGTTGGGTGACAAATGTAGTTTTTCCTGAACCTGCCATTCCAAGCACTATTATACAGGTTGGCTTGTCTTTTTCATCCGTGCTATCTTTCTCAGAGCTCTTCGAGCTACCCTCTGTAGACTCCGATTTTGTATCCATTGATGCCATAGCTGTAATAATGTGAATATTTGAAAAATCATTTACATTTTGTATTGAAAAATACCGTAGTTTACTCATTATTGAAAAACTTCAAAATTTCAACGCGCACATACAGATGTATATTATTGCGAATTGTAAAATGAAAAAAACAAAAAAAAACCTAAAAAGCTTTGCAAAACGAAAACAATAATTTACGGTTTTATAAAAATTGTAATTAACTCAGTTAAATAGGCATGCTTACGTGCTTTTGTAGAGAAAAGTCAGAATTATTGTTACCAGTTATATCACACTATATTTTTATTCAACTTTATTATACAGTGCAATCGCGAGCAATTATAACCAGCACACTGCACGTGCAAAGTGCACAGACAAACATCAGTAAGTATAGTAAAGAGAGCAGACTACACACATATACATATACATATATAAAAATATATGCATACGAGCATCGAGCACACCGGCCATTTAAAATTTCTTCTATTTAAGTATAGGTAAGTACTTATATGTAACACTTATATTTCATGTAATTTAGAGTATATCATGCATGATGATTTAATAAAATTCAACAATCGTTTTTAAGACGTTTTAAGAGTCAAGTTGAAAAAGTAAAAGTATACGAAGGCGAGATTAAAGTAGTATAGAATAGATATAGACTTAACATAAAAAACATCAAATTGTAATTTTTTTGTAACAATGATGGGATATGCAATAATAACAATATATGTATCCGTCTGTTTGTAATGTATCCCAAACTGCCTAATATATAAGTACACCTGTTGCAACCGGCAACTGCAGCCGGCACGTATATAATATATTATGTTCTTCGTCACTCACGTAGCAATTATTCTCGCAATTATTGGATTTACCTTATTCTTATATTATTTTCACTGCGCTACTTATTTCTCTTATATTTTACTATTCATGTATAAAATGCACGCATGTCAATTACAAATCGTACCATTGAGGACTGTAAAATTGATAGATCACGCGATTATCAGCCTTCGTAACATGATTGGCTTACTCATGCTTTTTAATATTTAATTCTGTTGCATGTTTATGTAATTGCGAAACTCGAAGATTGTTTGATGAGGTATATTCGAAAATCAAATGTATTCTTGACTTGACTAGTACTTGGTAAAAATCATTGCTAAACATCTCATCATCCATGTGCGAGTGATTAAAAGTATATATAGTTTTCAAGTTTTTAAGTAACGAAACAACTTTTGGAAAACTTTTCTTCTCGTCTTGACCAGCATGATTATTCAACTTAAAAATTTGTCATTACATTCATTTGTAAATTAAATAAAGTTTAACGTGTCGTTAACATTTTTTTGTTTTTTTGGTCAGCAGCAGTGCCGAGAAAAACTTTTTCGACAAAGTGTTCACACTAACAATACCCGACAGATACAATCCCTCGGTTAATTAGCGGAATAGAAATATATCAGGAGATAAGAAAAAAGAGATATTCAGCTTTGATGTATCCAAAAGCTCTTAAAAGTCTTAAAACGTTCGTGGCGGATCGTGCATGTCACTCTTTAGTAAAGGATTCTCGTAATTAAATCTAACTGTGCGATAAGGCAATCATTTACGACAAACAAGTTGCTGAGAAATATAATAAATTTCTTCATAATAATGTTAAGAGTACATACAAAAAAAAAAAATGGCACGAGAATTGGGTACGTTTTGTGTGAAAAAAATTTTTTAAAGAGCAATCGCTTAAAGGTTTCTTTTTTTTTTTTTGAAAGAAAACTCACGTCATACATTTATGTCAATAGGTATCTAATTTATCATACGATGATTGCCGCGGCTTCGGCAATTGCGATATTCCCGGGCTTGACGGATTCATATCTATATTATACACGACAGTAAAAAAAAAAAAACATTTCTCTTTAACATTAATCTCACTGCAGGTAAACTGGCAATGTTCTTCACGCGCACTTTGTTAATTCGAAAAAATAAGCGTTGACATAAAAAAAAGTGTTGGCGCCACACAAATGTGGGTGGGTGCGCGTGGGTGATGTGTATTTGAATTCCATGAATGGTCAGGGCGTCGGAGAGGGGGAGGGGTTGGATCAGAGGGGGGAATGTATATATTTTGTATTGGAGAGAAAAAGAGATGAGATAAGTATATGCAAATGTGGAGTCTGTCGAGCGGAGGTCCCGAGGGGAGTTATTCTGGCGAGGGAGATCGGGGAGTTTCGTACCCGTACGTGAACTCAATATACCATTTTCTCGAGTATCGGAGTCGAATTATTTCTAAAAAGTGCCCTTGTCGGCCGACCCCTCTTTTTTTGAGCGGCTCTCGCGACTTGCACGGTTTTAAACTGGCTCCGCTGGTGAGTTACGCGGGGAGCGCGCCGTTTTGGAGCAAAGGCACAGTGGCGTAGGGACGAGTTAAAAGAGCGTGGGGCTGGGGCTCTCGAGACGTTCATCGTGTGCATCTGCGGGTAAAATTAAGACTTACGCCTCGCGTTCTACATCTACAATTTAAATATACAACAGGCACACACACACGTGACGACTTATACGGCGCGGCGGCGGCAACGGCGGCACGGCAGCAGCTCTCCGCACATCACATCAGCTCGATCATTAACGAAGTGATGAGCAACCATCAGAGCCTTCGGTCACCCGACAAAGTACAGAATGGCGGCGAAGCAGAAGCCCGATGTCGTGACGGAGCGCCGGCTTAAGCCCATCTACGGTAAGCCGACTGATGCTTGTTGCTCTCGCGCAATATACCACACGTACATATGTATACATATATATATAGGCGTATATATATTTATATGTATACACGTACTTATATCTCGTTAGATTGTCATTGCACACAAGCTGTACAACATATCAATTTAATATGCACGACGGTCCCCCGACACTGTGCCCCCGTCTCCTGGGACTGTCGTTGCTCTTTGCAGCACCCGGGGACGCTCGGTCGCGAGAGTCGGGCACGCGCGCCGGCACCGCGAGGTTATGTAATTATATGGTACTCATTGGTGGTGGTGGTGTATCATCTAAAAATGATATGATGTTCATGGTGATGCTAATAAAGATCTTGATTATGATGATGATGATGATGATGATGATGATGATAATACACTGCAGAACTTATTCGCGGCTACGTACTGCTGCTCGTTTCAGATAGGCTTGACAATGGGAATAACAAAAGCGCTTACCACGAGGCGGAAAAGTTCCTGAAGAAGCATCCGAAAAATCAGTGCGTCCGCGTTCTGAAGGCACTGGCCCTGCTTCGCCTCGGTAAAGAGGACGAGTGCCAGAGTATCATTGACCAGGTGCGTGGAGAGTCTGGACCATTCGAGGAATCAACGCTCCAAGCCATGAGTATCTGTTACAGAGAAACACAGCAACGTTAGTATTATCATCAATATATATTTGCCCAGATATCCCATAGTCACCTCGTTGATTATTATAACTTGTCTGTTCTCCCAACGCACTGATTACTCGACTTATAATTTCATTTTATTGCACTTTAAAAACACCGTTAAACGTTTTTTCTTTTTTTAGCTGAGAAAATCAGCGAGGTCTATGAGGCCGCATCAAGAGCTGATCCTCAAAATGAAGATCTTCTCACGCATCTTTTCATGTCCTATGTGAGATTGGGGGATTTCAAGAAACAGCAGCAAACAGCGTTACATTTATACAAAGTAGTTCCTAAGAATCCTTATTACTTTTGGGCTGTTATGAGTTGTGTGATGCAGGCTCAGCATGAAAAGGACGAGCAGGCCAAAAGAATTTCTTTGATGTTGGCAGAGAGAATGGTTTGTTTTATTTATTAGCTGTGACCTTGATGTTTTTCATAAATTTATTGAAAAATTTTTTTTTTTTATACTAGGTGCTAAAATTTATCAACGAAAACAAAATAGAGGCAGAGCAAGAAGTGCAGTTGTATTTGATGATTTTAGATCTCCAAGGAAAGACAGATGAAATACTTAAAGTTTTATCTGGCCAATTGGCAAATTTTCTCACTCATGTTCCACAACGTAAAGCTAAATTACTACTTAAGATGAAATCTTTTGATCAAGCTACAAAAGCTTACGAAGAACTTATACGTAACGAGTAATTGTTTATTAAAAAAAAAGTGTGCTCTATCGCCAATGTAATGCGTACAATTAACTATTTTTATTTTATTATTTTTCTAGTCGAGATAACTGGGTATATTATCAGGAATATTTAACAGCAGGTCTACAGTGTCAAACAGCTACCAAATGTTACAAGTTTTTGAATGAAACAATCACTCTCACATTTGATGACAAAGTACGATCGCCTCAACTTGCGCGTTTGGAATTACTGAAGCGTGCTAATGAACAAAAATTGGAAATCGAGCATTGTGCACACATATGTGATGATATGAGACAATATTTCAAGCAATTTGGAACCAAAGGATGCGTAGTTGGTGAATTAAAATTATATCTACATCTCTTGAGTGATGCTGATGTGGAAGAATTATTAGAACACGTATGAGAAATGATTGTTTTCGCGATGAGAAATATTTTCTATCAATTGAATCAATTTTATAAATTGACAGATCGAGACTGATATTGGGATGGTGGAAAATGAATATCCAGTAACGGTCGACCAAATGCAAAAGCATATTCATTTTGAAGAGTTAAAACGTATTTGTGGAAGACATCACCAGCCGAGAACGAGTGACGAACAGAGAAGGGAACTTGTAAAATATTTTACTGAATCATACAAGAAAGGAAATGCTCTCTGTCCGAAGGACACTAGATTACCAACTGATTTCTGTCCTGCTGATTCTTACATACTCCTGGCTGTTCACATCTTGCATCAATTGTGGAACGACACACGAGAAGCAGAATTACTGTGCGAGTATGTCGCTTTCACATGAATTAACTACTATTAAAACATTTAATACTTTAACATTTTTTACATTTGCATTTGTTTTAGAGCAATGATACTTTTAGAAGAAGGACTAATGTCCAGTCCTGCCAATTTTCACATAAAGATACTTTTGATAAAGACGTATTTAGAGGCAGGATTAGCAGAAGCTGCTGATTATGCTTATTCACTGTTAGATTGTAAACATATCCAATTAGATTCTCTAGGTTACCTACATGTACCATTACTCGCGCCTCTTGGTTTTTTAACTCAGGCAGCGAATTGTCTAGACAATGCTGCTAAATTTTTTACTTCGAGTTACAAGGATGTGAGTTAGTTTTATTTCACTTCCGTATTTATTTTCAATTACTTTTAAAATACTTATGCTTGTCCTAATTTTTCAGAGCGCCGATAATTTAGCGTTTGCATTTAGATATGGGAGTTTCCTCAAAATCGAAGAATTTCTCGAATTTCAAGAGCGTTTGAAAAATTCAATTCATTTTGCTTCAGTTACCGTCGACAAAATGTTATTAGAGTTGAGCAATTGCGAAAGTCCAAATCAGGTTGCTTTAACGCTATCCACCATGAACGTTAAATACGCAGAAGACCCTATTCGATGGGATAAATTGCGCGACAATCGAGATGTAGATGTAAGGATTGTATTATCTTCACTAGATTAATTCATTCAAATAAATCATCAAATACTAGTTTTTAAACAAATTTACGATTCTAGGTTGTGGTAGGTTGGGAACCACTTCAAGAAAAGGACGATGATATACGCATGAAAGAGGAAACACGGGAGTGTATGGTTTGTTTACTGGCTGCTCGTAGTATCATTCTGAGAATAATAGCGGCTGCCAATGATGCATCAGATTCATCTGCAACCATGTCTTTATTAGCTGCCGAATTAAGAAAATTGCAAAATGAAACAATTCCTTTGGTTCTCAAAAAATTCGAGTTTGTATGTGTTGATGATAAAATCAACAGAATAAATAGCGTTTTAGTTCCTCTGGATGCTGTGGATCGTTTGCGTGAAATTTATAGCTCCAAACAACTGGGTTTGATTGCTCAGTTTGCCGATTCACTGGCTAATTCGTCATACCCCGATGCGGAATGCCTCGAGGCACTAAAAGAATCGGATTGTTTGAAGCTTTTGCTTGTGCCCCAAAGAGACTTGGAAGCTTCATTAAAAAATATTTTATTCAGGGCGTCCACTTGTGGAGAAACTTTAGCTTTTTTGAGTGCCATTTGTACTTTAGCTGCATCACACATCAAGCCTAATATTTTAAAAAAGAAAAATAGACGAAAAAGTACAAAGGAAACTGAGGTATCCGAGATGATATTGGAGAACAAAGTAAATATTCTTACGTATTTGAAATTGAACTTTTTTGTTTAACCGTTTTTACAATAAAAAAAAAAAATTTTTTTTTTTCTAGACATGGTCTATACTTTCTCAGATATTGTCTACCAAACTGAAACATTTGGAGTCTACTTTAAGGAGTCTTGAAGAAATGGAAGTTTATGCAAATTTGAATGTTTCAAGGGAGGCAGCTTGGAAAGTGAAAGAACGAGCAAATAGGAGTCTGAAGTCTTCTTGTAGCTGTCTTAGAAAACGTGTCGAAAATACTCAAAAACTTATAAACAACTTGAAAAGCTGAAATTTTACAATTATTTTGTACAAAAATTTTCAATCCGCTCAAGTACATTTGGCCAATGAATGTACATACAACTTTGTTGTTATTGATAATTCACAATATTTACCATTTTATCTCCATCACAAATACGCTCGTATTTTTTACAAACTCTTTAGCGCAAACATGTTTTTGTTTTCAATACATGTTGATATTAAATAAGAGAAAAATCTTTTTCAGATAGACTACACGCTTAACTGTTGTATGCATATAATACATGTGGAGAGACATGAAATTTTTTATTTTTCAACGCTGCCACGAAGCAAAACAAGATAATGAACTTGAAAAAATAAATCATTGAATGGTTTTTACAAAAAATACGTACTAAACTCGACAATTATTATTTTAACGTTAAATAAAATCGTGGAAGGGGCAGTTAAAATGTAACAATGCTATTAATAAGTAATTTAGAAAATCTACGTAAAATAACTAATTAGCTGTAAAATATTTACATGGTTCCTATTTCCAATTCCTGGGTAAATTGGAAAAAATAATGGTGATAACATGAATAAAAGAAATTGTACCGTGCCATTGATTAGAAAAAAATGTATCTACATATAAAATTTGGTGGATGGCATTAGGAAAAAATATTTTTTAAAAAAGACTTGGCATCAGTACAATTTTTAGGTAAGAAACGTTATGTTTACTGATACCTGATCGATGTTGTCCTCAATTTCTTTGTTGTATTAAAAAAAAAAAAAATAAAAAAAAAATAATAATTTTCATCCATTTATGTAAAATATTTGGAGGATGACATGGATTGAATAAGCCAAACGACACAAATGTTGTAAACGCGCTTTTTATCATAAATAATATATATGCTTAAGCGAATATACTATATAAATAATATATTCGCGGTTTACAAATAGCTTCAAATTTTACATTAACAAGTTTGTTTTCTTGCTACATGATAAATTGAGTTCATATCAACAATTTACAAAATGATAGTAAGAAAACATCTCACAAAAAGTTCCTGTATGTTTAGTAACCTAACAATTTGTACAAAACTTTCAAAATTAAAAAATCAAATATCCAACAATCACTATAGTTATCTTGAGACATTTCATCCACCACAATAAGTGATCAATATTTTACAATAGTTTTTCACAAGTTCGCGTGACTTATCTACACAAAAATACTTGAGGAATAAAGAAAAGTTCACATAGATACAGTCATTTTGATAATAAATAGCGTAAATCACTTTCCTTAATTTATCGTTGAAGTTAATCTTCATCCGTTTTCTGGTACACTGCACCAAATTTACTCATATACTTTCGAACAAAGTCTTTAGCTTTATGCTTAACATTGTCATTACACTCCAACTCATCGACACTTTTGCAATGTTTTAATTCTTTTGCAAGGACAAAATGCGTTAGCTGAAACATAAATAAATAATTTTTGCAACTACAGTAAGATAAAAGAAGTGTAGAGTTAAACAAATATACTACCTTGCGTGCAAGATGTTTGAAATCTTCAGTATTTGTAATTCTTCCTTGTTTACAATCGTTTTTTCGATACGGATTAAGGAAATGTACCATCACTTCGGCCATGCTGATTCTAAAAGCATCTTTGATTTTCCGTTCTGTCGTTGGAGACATGTCGGAAGTAATTGTACTATGCTTTGAATACGATTTCGATTTGCTGCTACGCCTCATTTTCTTCATTTTTTCCACTTGCTCTTTTATTTTGGCTCTCTCCTTGTGTCGTCTTAATTTTTCTTTGATTTCTTTGTATTTCTTGTGATCTACTCTATCTTCTTCTCGCCGGGGCTAATAAAAAAAAAAATCAATAATCTTAATGACCATGAATAGAAAGTTAAATATATGTCTATGCATAGAGTATTTACGCTGATGATTCTCTCTTGAACGAGTCCGTCTCGACGTTTCTTAGGTTCCGGGGGAACGCACTGCTCTACTTTGATTTCGTCGGCCTCCATAAGCTCAACCAGCTGTTGTTCAGGAGTGCCCAACTGCGGCTCGACTTCCTCCTCCTCGTCATTGGACGAACTCGTTTCGTCGCTCGACTCCGAAGTATCGGAGGAATCAGGTTGTACGGCGATATGGTCGGGTGGTGGTGGCAACCATTGAGAGACTCGGTCTTTCACATGGAAATAGTAGAGTCGACCTTTCTTATCTCTGGCCCATTTCCATTTGGGTGGCAAATCAAGTGGTGGGGGTGGCAGTGAATCGAAAGAAGGCTGTTCAAATTCAGGTTGCACTGGCTGCTGCTGCTGAGTAACTGAAGCTGTCGTTGGCCCATTTTGCATCTGAAGTGGCACCGCAGCTGTTGCTGGGTCATATCCTGGTGGATAAACGATCTCAGATCCTCCAGCTGCAGCGAACATGGTAGCAATAGTCTCAGGTGTAGCTCCTTCTACAAATTTTTTAATTTTCGAGCTTAGCTGACGTAAAAAAAGCATTCTCTTTAATTTTAATCATTTAATTTGCCATTTTTACCTGGAACTTGGCAGGGAATAGCTTGCCATTGGCCCAATTGCTGGTTGAAAAAGAGTGGATAACCCGTTTGTGGATCATATGCTGCGGTCGTGTTAGGATCCAAGCCAAGGGCAAGACACTGCGCCTCATGTTGCTGCCACAAATCTTCATGCTGGCGTCGTTGCCTTTCTTCCTCTTCTTTCGCGACCTTCAAGGCAAACAATTGTCGACGCTCATACTTGGTCATGCGCGGCATCGGCACCAAGTTTGGCCGTTCATCCAAGCCTCTTTTGTCTTTGGACCTTCCATGCTCAAAATCCGGCGAGTCTCTTCCCCGACGCAACCGCTTGTCTGAGTCACTACGTGAACTATACCTGTCAGTTCTATACCTGTAAAACATCAATTTAGTTTTAACAAAAATTGTAAATTGAAGATCCAACGGTTTTATACTATAAACCGCACCTGTCGAAAAAGGTACCATCTCTAACTTCTTTTTCTACTTTTTCTTTGTATCCGCGATCTAAAACGAAACATTAAAAAATTGTCACTGGGTAGCATAAAAAGAAATTAAAACCTTATCCAATTTAATTTATCACAATACTTACCAGCTTCTCTTTCATGCTCTTTCATTTGTTCTATCCGCTCTTTCTTTGGTATACGAAAAACTTCTTTCAAATTTGACCAGTCAGCAAGAAGATTAGATGCCAACTCGGATATTATTGAATATTCATTGATTTCTCCTTTGATATCGCTCTTAATTTCTACAGGCTTTTTAATGTCATTTGCATTAGAATTGCTCGTAATTTCAGACTGAATTTCGTCCTTACTATCAATTTCCATTGGACTAGTGGTAGGTTCGTCGCTGCTACTCGATTTCAGTTTTGACTGATCATCATCTGGCGAGTTTCCACTAACAGGAGAATGATAATGTTGCTTCGACCACTTTTCTATTATGCTAAGTACTTTGCTATCTATTAGCATTGTTTTATTGGGTATTGGCAGTGTGCTCAGAGTTTTCAATATCTCTAATCTGAATTGTTGAACAACGTCGGTATCACTTCCGATAACGTCCATCATGTAACTCCATATTAATCGGAGACCGTGATAATCAAGGAATAATCTTCGGCAGGGGTGATCTCCGGATTGTATTACTTTAAGAAGACGTGTTCTGTGTTGTATTTCTCTACTTCGAACCATCAATCGACTCAGAGTTAAAGTATGGGTTCGATTTTTCAAACCAGTACGACATAATTTTTCGATCTGTTCTTCCAACTGAAACATTACATTTTAGATATTATGTGATTCAAGATTGTAAAATAATTTTAAAAAGTTAATTTTTTTACAACTTACATCCTCATCTTCCATGTGATCAGACACTTTCTTTTCAGTTTTCTTTCTCCTCACTTGTTTCCGGGGTTTCTTTTCTTTAATTTCTTTATTATCTTCTTTATTTTCTTCCTGTGCTTTTTCTTCTTCTCCTCCGTCTTCTTCTTCATCTTCTTCTTCCTCATCCTCGTCTTCAGTATCATCGTCATCATCTTCCAGATCATCCATGAATTCTGACTTTTCTTTATTGTCCTCTGGATTATCACCTATCCAACCTCTACAATTCGCTGCTTCACAGAAACATTTTTGCGCCTCTTTTCTGAAATATTCAATGCAACATTCGTGTATACAATGAGGAAAAACAATCGTCAAGTAATATTTTTGAAAAAATTCATAAAACAATCATTCTACGAACCCATATCTTTGGAAATGATAGTCAAAAGTGATTTCTTCTCCTGCAGCTACAAATTTTTTAATAAAAAATCCAATCCTTAATTCACCATTAACAGTCCACTAAAATAGTGATTAGTAGTCAAATGAATTATGCATTTTAAATCAAAACGGAAAAATAAAATCCTACACCAACTCTATTATAAATTGTTTACCTTTTGAGTTTCAGCATTCGGATCACAACTGTGATTAATGAAACGAGATACGTTGCCTTTCATTGTTGCATCAATAATTTGATCGGATTTCAACGCCATAAAATAGTAATGTCTATTTTTGTCTTTTGAATATTCTTTTGCCCTTTTTCGGAAATCCTTTGGATTCACGACCTCACCAACGTATTCCATAATGAAATCCCCTCTGTAATTTTTCAAAATAATAATAATAATATAATGCAAAGCTAATCGTTACTAAAATTAAATTAGATTGGTACAACTTACGCATCTAAACTGGTTCTGGCTCTTAAACCAAAACCCTTTTTCTCGGTGCGAAACACTTCGCAATCCGCGTACTCGCTATTTTGAAACCGCTTATTAGTACATCTATCGCCAACAAGACATCGAGGCCCACTAAAATCACATATTAATCACATGTATTCTTCACAACATAAAAATTATCATCGAATTACATAAATTGATCCATCACCATTCAATCATCAACAGCCTATTGAGACAATCTTCACCACAAGCTAATTCTCCTCTTTCAAATTCTTCTTCAGTTAAAAAACAATCACATAGCATTCGCTTCGTTTCCTTATTGGTATAACTGCAAGAGTATTTTTCATTAAATTTGAAATCATTTTTGTAAATGAAATTTGATCAAATAAATATATTTCAACTCACCGTTCCGTCAAGTACAAATTTTCCTTCAAATGTTCAAATTGACTAAGCCTTTCTTCCATCTCCCTATCTGCGTTCGCAGAAATCATTGGCAGATGAATTTTCGCTCCAATTGACTTGAGAGTTGACGCTGTTGAAGAAGTTTCATTTATCAATGAAGTGTTAGTAATCACAGTAGAACTACCAGACGTATCCATACTAGTATTACTGCTGTGGGATGGAACTACCACCACATCTTGGCTTTCCGTTCTCGTTTCTTGCTGCGATCCCACTCCAATAGATTGTGATTTGAAATCATTAAACGAATTCGCTGAGATGCCTGTTGAAAATCCTTGGATTCCCAAAGAGTTGGGAATATTTGCGTTTGGTTGGTTCACTGCCCAAGCTTCCGAATTGCTCATCTCTAATTCACTAGATCGTCGCCAACGTGATTTTACTTTTACGGGCTTATTTGAATCTGAATCATAACCAGCAGTTGCATTATTAATAGATGGTAATGGTGTAAGAACATCTTGTGGAGCAGTTGTTTTATTACTAGAATTTTCCTTGTCCGACTGAGAGGTTTCTGACGAGTTATCAGAACCATTTTTGTTTTGTCCTTTTTCTAAGGTTGCTTGAACATTGTTTAGGAGCTTATCCTGTTCTTCCCGTTGAATGGATATTTTAGAAGATTCTATAGATGTCTTTGTAACTAAGCCACGACCTCGAGACCTATATTAAGCAAAGAAGAAAAATTTTCAGTTAGTGATTGAGAAAAAAAAAATTATAGCTACTTGTTAAGTTTTACTGAGAAGTAATGAGAAAAAAATTGCATCTACCTTGGTTTCATCAAACCAATGGTTCTGATTCTGTTACTACGGCGAACACCAGAAGAACTTGTTTCTGATTCAGTCGTGTCAGTGCTTCCACTGCGACTTCTAAATCCAGACTTTTTGTCACCTTCATTCAATTTGTTGAATAAATTTTTGTTGTCTAAATTAGGGTCGGAATTTTTAAAACTACCTGACGATAAAAAAGTATCATTGCTGTTTTCACTACTACTAGATACTTTAACATCTTCAGAATCAGCTTTTGCATCCATTTCACTATCCCTGGAATGTTCTTCACTACCAAGTACCGCATTTTTAGATGCTTCAAGTGTTACTTTTGTATCCAAAGAATTACAAATATTCTTTTCTTCTACAGTTTGACTATTATTCACTAATTTATCCTTGAAAGAGTCAGTAGTGGATGCATCAGAAACATCTTGACTTTCTGCTCTTTCAGACATTGACGAGCTAGTATCATCTTCTTGCAGTAATGCTACAACATTTGGCAATGGTAACACAGAGCTTTGAGTATTATTTGCCTCGACAGTATTGGCAGACACAGCAGAACTGTTTTTTTTTCTTCTAACTGTCTTTTCTCTACCATCGGAATCAGACGCAACTTTTTTACTCGTTCGGTCTGTCCTTTTTTTTACTGAACTGTCAGGGGTGGCTTGGTTTATTGACTCTTGAGGCTTTCCTTTACCTCTGGATGAACTCCTTAACGATCTATAACTTTCCCTGTGGGAAATATCAATAACACTTTTAGGTTCTTTTACAGACTCGGTATTGTCAGTCATCAACAAACTAGCAACACTTTGTTCTATTTGTTCTATTGTTTCACAGTCACTTGTATTTTTATAGTTTTCATTGATCGATGTTACACTTTCGATAGTTTCACGTGGTACAACATTCAAAGGCTGATCTATATCCTCTGTTTCTATGAGAGTGTATTCAACGATATCTTTATCATCAAAATTAGGGTCATTCATCAGCAAAACTTCTTCAAGCACAACATTCTCATCCTGCGTTATACAAGTACTGTCAGTTACTTCAGCATCAACTTCCATTTCCTCACAAATAATTGTTTCTTCTATAACATCTTCGGACCAAACAACTTCATTGACAATATTATCACTGATTTCCATTTGTTTTTCAACGTTCAACACATTAACATTTAAATCACTTTGATCAACACTATTTTCACCTTGATCACTTGCACTTTCCGTTGTGGATTTTTCTTTTTCTACAACCGTTTTTTTACGCCTACCTACTTTTTTAGGAACTACATTTTTTTTAGATGGCTCTTGACTGTTATCACTATCGGCAGATTGTTTAGAATCTTCGGAATTGTTGACCACTGGGGATGCAATATCACCATTCAATTTTAGCTCTTTCAATTGCTTTTTAGTTCTTTGCCTATTCGACTTTCTCACAGCTGGTGGTGGGGTTGGTTTCTCTTTTTCCGAGGCTTTTGCCTCTGTCTTCCTTGGCCGAGCCATACTTATATTTTATTCTAATCGCTATCTGAAAATTATTATGAAAAATATTAACTTAGCCATAATTTTTATAAAATATAGTAATACACCTTAATGTAACCTAAAACATCGAATTGATAAACTAAAGCGGATAGATAAAACAAATTGTAACTTATAGACATCTTGGTAGTCAATAAACAATGACAATTCAAGGATGAGCTAACCAAAGAATGAATGAGAGGAAGAAAAAGTCGACATGCATTTTCGTTGTATACTAGTAATGGAAAAACGACTTACCAATATTTAAAATGCGCTAAGATCGTAAAGCTTCGAGATCGAGCATCGTTGCTGCTTCAGTCAATTGTTTAAAACTGCTAAGAATCCAACTTGAAGCAATAACGAGGCATCATTATTATTATTTCACTCGCGAATACTTATTATATTTGCTAAAATCCAAAGACGACGCTTGATTCCCGCAGCCAACAGATACGTAATAGTGTAGCTTGGACTAGCTAATAAGTACTGCTACGATGAGAGAGCAGCAACATTGAAATAAAATTTCGCTGAGTCGAGAGAGAAGCGAAAACGGAGCGAAAGACGGTCGAGCATGAATTTGTCCTTGTGTTGGCTCGTTAGGCGAGGCTACGTCCAGTAATAATGTGACGAAATGAAGTGTTCACGAGGTTTTAACTGTCCAGGGTGATCGGATGAGCGACGTTTATTTCGAGACCGTCTACTTATTCAGGTCCACAGCAGCCTGATGTAGCCTGATGTGTATGTTGACCACCTATAAACAAATAAATAACACACGAATCACCCAAGGCTACGCTTTAGAACGACGCGTAAAATTTTTGATTTTAAAACGACGTTGATGGCAGCGTCTTAAGTACCGTTCTTTATTCTACTTATTATCGGACGAACAGTTGTGATGATTAGATGAAACGTTGACAAGATATATTATTGGCTTGTAGGTAGGTAGAGCTTGTTGATGGCAAAGCCACTCCAATGAAGTCAGACTCTTGGGCCAGAAGAAGGAATCGTACACAGAAACAAACGATGAGTTCACTGAGTCTGAAAGTTAAACGGATTGTTATATATCTATATTGAGATTCATGGTAACGAGGGGTGAGAGCGCATGCTGCGTGTGTATCTCTCTCATAATATGATATAAGCTTGTAATTCGACTTAATCTTATGTGTACTTACTGTACTCGAATGACGTTAATACCTAGGATGTATTGTACGATTCATACAGTTTAATTAACATTCGTTGACCCACTACGATTGATTCGATCTTGTTGTGTGTTCTCCAAAACAGTCAGCACACTCCAAAGTTGCAAGTTTGTATATAACTTAAATATATTCTGTACATAGTACATCCGTACAAGCTGATCTGATCCAAGTGTCGTCGCTCTCTGCGTGCTCGTGCTCGGCTATGCGGCTATGTGTTCTCTCTCTTTGGCTCTTCGCGCGCGGTCGCTGCAGTGTCACACCGAGAAAGCGCCCAATGCATTGCACACTTCGCTTCAGCTCCCTCTCGCTCCCTCTACTCTCCACTCATACACGACTCCGAATTTTAATCTGAACTCTGAAGTTTCTGAACTGAACGTGCAACCTCTGGCGCACTCGGGTACTGTTGCGTGTAGATTGTGGACTTGTGGACTTACAATTGTACGCATGTAAATACAATTTCTGTATACGGTATAAGTATATATTACACTGGCTGCGTCTGCTACTGACAGTTATCAAGGGAGAAAGAGTTATAGCATATATTAAATATATTGAAAGATAAAGATATTTGTAGTTCGGCAAAAGAGATGCCATTGGCGCGCTAATTTGAAGTGAGTAATTCAATTCCCTTTTGTAATTTTCCGAGGAAGTTTTTTTTTCAATTTTAAAACGGTATCGGAAATTTTTTCTCTTTTTCATGCGCATACAAGTTACGAGTCGAGAGTATATACTTAATTAACTTTGGGGATACAATTTGATTGAAGCATTCTTACCTTTTCAATGTATAATATTATTCATATGTATATATTTATTTCTTTTTAGTATTATATAGGTGTGTGTGCATGTTTATATATATGACTGAAATCATTGCCGGAAAAAAATTCTTTGTCCAAAACCTTAGATTTTTTTACCTTTACGTGTATACTTTAGTCAATAATCTCACAATCATTAAAATAATACAAATATATACCTATCTGAAACATAACAGATGTGTAATTTAACGACATATGTCATCATTCTCATCGTTATATTAAAAGCTATTGCGTTATCCTACATTTCTAACAACAGGTTTCGAGATGCTATAGAATTACAGCAACATCTGCGTGCTCCAATTGTGAAATTTTCAAACGAAATAAATCTTACTTTCAGAGTAGCCGAAGATCTCAAACACGAGATATATATATCTCTCTCAGGAGCGAGGCTCTTTCACACTCACTCATATTATGTACTACGTAGCATATACAGTTTAAAAAAAAAAAAAGAGAGTTTTTTTTCAATATTTTGAGAGATAGAAGTGTTAAAAATTCGACAATTCAGTGAGCGTGCACATGCTCGCATGAATGTTTAACGCTCGCATGGTCATCTTCTTTTCTGTTTTTTTTTTTTTTTTTTTTTGGTGTAAGCTAGTAAATTTTCAACCGTACGTGTAACTGAATGTACGCACAATACAGTAAATATTGTCCGAGGAACGATAGGAACGAGGGAAGGACTTTATCGTCAAACTTTCTCGCTCGCACCGGCGATGGTCAGCGCTACATCATATGCGCGCCAGCTGCCCGTAGCCCATCAGCACATTTTGGAACAATTTTAGCTGGGATGGGTGGAAAGAAAAAAAACTTTATTCAATTTCCGAAAGTACAGGAATTCCCGTGAAAGTCCGCGCTACTGTATCATCTATCATTTGATGGGATAGGAGGGAAAAAAAAGTATAAGCTTCCGGCTGAGCGGAGCGGAAACCGCGTCTTAGAAATGTGGATGAAAAAAAAAAAAAAAAAAAAAACATCATAGAGCCACGTTGTCGATGCAAAGTGCAAAAAACCAAATGAGGCTTCCCTTTGTTTCCCTCCGCCAATCATAATCTGTACATTNTATATATATAGTAAGACAGTATAATATTATATAATAAGACAGTAATTGTGATAATATATATATAATAAGACAGTAATTGTGAAACGCAATGACCGAAAAATGGTACCCACACAACATAATGTGTGTGTGTGTGATAGCATATTTATTTTTTTAACAGTTCATTAAGCTGGATTTGGTTTATACTTGATATTTTTTAATGAATCAGAAAATTTATTACATTCTTTATTTGAACATCGTCGCCTAAAATGCTACGAAATCTCAAGAGCGTGTTATTGTCTTCATAAACACCTTTTGTTTTTTGTTGTCGTTACATTCGGAGCCCGTAAACGGATTTTTTTTTAAATTTTTTTATTTTTCATTATTTCACAGATGAGTCTCGGATCGGTATGATTTCATCGATATCTTCATTGATTCGCTGACGCAGTACTCAAGTGTAGGCCTTATAGAGTAACATACGCACATCAAAATAAGATGTATCTATCGTCATTTTTGGAGTCGTTCTTAGAAGTATATAATCAACGTAACATCTTAATGATCTTGCTTATGATGACCCCCAAGAAATTCATTAAGCATACGAGTCAAATTTAAACGAGGTGTACTAATTATTGTGGGGGTGAAATGAGGATCATCATGTCACGATTGTTTATGTTCATTTGTGATAATATATATACGTTATATAATCCTCATTTAAATTTGACTTATGCTTAAAACGCATTGATTGGGGGTCATTGTAAGACCTTATGTTAATTATATATTTCAAAGAGCAACTCCAAAAATAACGAAATAAATCCCATTTTGACGTGCGTTTGATGTTGCGGTATTCTAAAAAAAGCCTGCGTCAGTACTCTGAATAAGTACTGTGTCAGCGAATTAATGAAGATATGCCTTGAAACTATCGACGACAACATGAATTTTCTCACAAAGATTACACGCTATTCAAATTTTCAAGCTCAAACTTACCGGTTTTTCGTAAAATAATGTGTACAATATTAGGTTCACTACAAACTGGCAGCGGCCACGAAAACGGAAATCGTCCGCGCGAGTTGCGTGCAATATTTTTTGCAACAAGTATGTGTAAGAAATTTGGATGCGTGTTTCAAAACATATCAAACATATTAAAAATATCCTTGTATTTTTAAGGTGTGTAGGAAATTTTGTTCTTCTAGACAAAATACTATTTTTTACTTCGGACGTTTTTCGTGGCTTTTGGATGTTTGTTACGCCTTTGGTAGAAAAAACAAAAATTTCCTAAACACGTAAAAGTTACATTCAACAGTTCAGAATCTATAAACACAGATTGTATACCCCTACGGTGATGGCGGTCATGTAATAAACACTGCTATTTGGTGTGTGAAATAGTTTTTACTATGATTTTTTGTCCCGCAACAGTAACACGATATTAAGAATAGTAAGAACTTCAGAGGATTACAAGGGATTTTTTTTAAACTTGACGTTATAAACCACATTACGACCATACTTTTTAAAAGATAAAAATTGTATCAGTCGTACCTTACCTGCCAAAGTGTGTAGATTTTGCATTATTTGAGTCATTCATTCTCTACAATGTCGACTTACGCTGTAAATGACAAAAATTGGTTCAAAGTAGCCAAAAAATCGTTTATTAGTATCTGACTTTTTTAATATGACATTTACAAATTAAATATTTAGTAAAAACTCAAGGATTTCATAAGAAAATAATTTTTTGTATCATAGATTTTTTTTAACAGTGTAATCCTAAAACTTCGTACAATTAAAATTGTTTTTGTAATATCTAATTTTATTATGTACTACGTAGCATATACAGTTTAAAAAAAAAAAAAGAGAGTTTTTTTTCAATATTTTGAGATAAAAATTCGACAATTCAGTGAGATTTTTGGCTTAAAAACTAATTTTACAAATCACGAAAAAAAAAAATCGTATTATACACATTTCTTGAATTAATATTTCCACTCTTGCACAAATTCAAGAAATATTGTTTTGATTGTGCGATAATATATATATATAGTAAGACAGTATAATATTATATAATAAGACAGTAATTGTGATAATATATATATAATAAGACAGTAATTGTGAAACGCAATGACCGAAAAATGGTACCCACACAACATAATGTGTGTGTGTGTGATAGCATATTTATTTTTTTAACAGTTCATTAAGCTGGATTTGGTTTATACTTGATATTTTTTAATGAATCAGAAAATTTATTACATTCTTTATTTGAACATCGTCGCCTAAAATGCTACGAAATCTCAAGAGCGTGTTATTGTCTTCATAAACACCTTTTGTTTTTTGTTGTCGTTACATTCGGAGCCCGTAAACGGATTTTTTTTTAAATTTTTTTATTTTTCATTATTTCACAGATGAGTCTCGGATCGGTATGATTTCATCGATATCTTCATTGATTCGCTGACGCAGTACTCAAGTGTAGGCCTTATAGAGTAACATACGCACATCAAAATAAGATGTATCTATCGTCATTTTTGGAGTCGTTCTTAGAAGTATATAATCAACGTAACATCTTAATGATCTTGCTTATGATGACCCCCAAGAAATTCATTAAGCATACGAGTCAAATTTAAACGAGGTGTACTAATTATTGTGGGGGTGAAATGAGGATCATCATGTCACGATTGTTTATGTTCATTTGTGATAATATATATACGTTATATAATCCTCATTTAAATTTGACTTATGCTTAAAACGCATTGATTGGGGGTCATTGTAAGACCTTATGTTAATTATATATTTCAAAGAGCAACTCCAAAAATAACGAAATAAATCCCATTTTGACGTGCGTTTGATGTTGCGGTATTCTAAAAAAAGCCTGCGTCAGTACTCTGAATAAGTACTGTGTCAGCGAATTAATGAAGATATGCCTTGAAACTATCGACGACAACATGAATTTTCTCACAAAGATTACACGCTATTCAAATTTTCAAGCTCAAACTTACCGGTTTTTCGTAAAATAATGTGTACAATATTAGGTTCACTACAAACTGGCAGCGGCCACGAAAACGGAAATCGTCCGCGCGAGTTGCGTGCAATATTTTTTGCAACAAGTATGTGTAAGAAATTTGGATGCGTGTTTCAAAACATATCAAACATATTAAAAATATCCTTGTATTTTTAAGGTGTGTAGGAAATTTTGTTCTTCTAGACAAAATACTATTTTTTACTTCGGACGTTTTTCGTGGCTTTTGGATGTTTGTTACGCCTTTGGTAGAAAAAACAAAAATTTCCTAAACACGTAAAAGTTACATTCAACAGTTCAGAATCTATAAACACAGATTGTATACCCCTACGGTGATGGCGGTCATGTAATAAACACTGCTATTTGGTGTGTGAAATAGTTTTTACTATGATTTTTTGTCCCGCAACAGTAACACGATATTAAGAATAGTAAGAACTTCAGAGGATTACAAGGGATTTTTTTTAAACTTGACGTTATAAACCACATTACGACCATACTTTTTAAAAGATAAAAATTGTATCAGTCGTACCTTACCTGCCAAAGTGTGTAGATTTTGCATTATTTGAGTCATTCATTCTCTACAATGTCGACTTACGCTGTAAATGACAAAAATTGGTTCAAAGTAGCCAAAAAATCGTTTATTAGTATCTGACTTTTTTAATATGACATTTACAAATTAAATATTTAGTAAAAACTCAAGGATTTCATAAGAAAATAATTTTTTGTATCATAGATTTTTTTTAACAGTGTAATCCTAAAACTTCGTACAATTAAAATTGTTTTTGTAATATCTAATTTTATTTGACATTTGCCAAAAAAAATGTTAAAAATGAAATCAGATTTAAACAAAACATTAAAATCACATTAAAAAGAAATTATATTATTCAAATTACATATTTTACTCTGGTGCTTGGTAGATTGATTGTGCCCCCATAGTGCATGTCTACTTACGTAATCGTCTGAGAAGAACAAGGTGACAATGTGTTATAATAGATATTACAGTTTGTATCAAAATCAAAAAACTATATTAAACCAGCTTCTTCTTCTGCTTTGCTTGCTAACTCCATGATATCAATCTCAAGTCGTCTTCGGGACTTGTATGGTAACCTTCGCATAATTCCCGTCAGATGCACAGAGAAACCTTCAATGTCATCTATCTGTTTATTAGTTTTCTCAATCACCCTGATTAATTCAGCAAAATCAGGCTCCTGATGACTTCGTTTTTGTCCTGTACATGGTTCATTCACTACAATTATTTTGAAAATCATCATTTCTATAAACAGCTATTTTCATACAGCTACAAAGAAAGTCTATTTTTTAAATACCTCTCATTTGGCTGATAGTACTAGATGTTGGCTTGACCCTCAGAGTTTTTTCTGAGATTAATTTGCGACTTTCGTTTGGGTAAGAGCCACTAGAGCTAATAGTTCCAGAAAGATTTGGCATTTCATCCACTGTACTTGCTGGGCTTTGTACAATAATTGATGACCTGAAATGTGTACATAAAGTACCCTAATTAATTCTTGATAAAAAAGTAGAATTCGAAATATTTTAAATGTAAGGTACTTACTTATTTTTAGTCTGAGTGTCAGTTAAGAAGCTCATGACTTCGTAATGTCTAAAACTACTTTTTAGATTAGTGTGTGATGCTTCAGAATCACTGGGTATGGAAGCTAATGCTTTTTTACGAGCTTTGTTATAAGAATCTCTCAAATTTCTCCATCTTTTTTTTACAGTGTCAGGATCAAAGGTGCCTGCACAGAAAAAAAAAAAGCTTTTGTTTAGCAAGTGTATGTCATACGAATGCAAAATATTTATACCTTCCAGGTCTTGCGCCACATCCTCCCATGCTTCTTGCAGAGAAGTAAAACTCCGGATTTTTGGAGATGTATCGTGATTCCAAATACAAGGATGTTTTTGTACTGATGCAATGAGCACCTCATCCCAGTCGCTCCAAGCTTTGTCCTCACGACTTCTCTTAATTTTCTTTTGCACCTGAGGTTCTGAGTCCATAACATATTCAACTCGGTATTCAACGTCTGAATCAACGGTTGGCATTGTTTTCAAAATATGTGACTTTCCTTTCTCAAAATACACGTAAATCGGCAAGTTTGTCTGCATTTATACATCAACAATATAAAGATCAGCTTACTAAGTTCACCTTGTATTGGTCAGTTTTAATATTTACACATTTACTTAACCTCTCAAAATATAATCTTCATTTGTAATGATTCAGTCAATATTTCAGAAGATCAATGTCACAAAAACTTTGTAGATACATGTAACCCAAAATACGATTAGTTTTGGGTAAAAAATGTATACAGCACTACAACTGAAAGAAAAAGTTTATAACAATCTCTTGCACAAAAACAAGTGTGTATACTTCTACTAACTGATAATATTAAATCTAACACTATCTTTGAGGATGGAATGATGAATAAATGAACGTTTGTATACAATTACACACTTTTTATTTACTGAAGAAAAGTGCAGAAATGAAGGATAGTCCGTCGACATAAAAGCGTCATCTGCGTCATGCGTATATTAAAGTGATGGTTTGGTTAAGTGGTGTGTTCAGTGTTGCGCAGTCGCGTGCATCTCTCGTTCTTCAGTCTTGTTGTTCGCCGTCCGTCGTCCGTGATTCCGTCCGTCCATCCCGTATTGGAGCTGAGCTGGGCTACAAATTACAAATAAAACAAAAAAGAAAATAAAAAGTTTTTTGAAAATTGACCTCAAAAAAAATGTACGCCCCTACACAAAACAATACTTAACTGTAGTTGCAACTTTGCCAACCGTTTTCTTTTTTCTTTTTTTCAATAATTTACGCATGGAATCGGAGTTGCGGCAATTTTTAGATTAAACAAAGGGGAAAAAAATTAATTTTTCCGCCCTCGGGTGGTTTTGGGAGGCTGGTACTTCCTCGGGCGAAAAAGCAGTTTTCCGGAACTCGTTCGAAAAGTCTCCTTTACGAACCTCGTTACGTCCCTCGCCTTCGGCTCGGGCCGCAAACCTCTCGGTTCGCAAACAGAGACTTTTCAAACTCGTAGGAAAACTACCATTCATTCGTCAGAATTTGAAAACCGCACCTTTCAACGCTAATCTTATCTATGAATAATTACCTAAGATGAAATAGATACGGCATCGTAGATAAGATTAGAGAGTCCATTTCCTTTTGGAGGTCGATTTTCGGGTAATTAATAAATTCTTATCTTGCGGCAAGATTAGAAACTCTGTGATGACTTTTTATTCTCTATCCATTGGTTTAGGTTGCGGCTGGTATGTAAGTAGTGTTGACCACATGGCTCTTCTTGAATACCAAGGAAATCACTCTTTACCAAAATGAAATATGACAGCAACATTTCGGATCTCGACGAATCATGAGGTTCCCTGTAAGAGTTGAAGCTGCATTAATTTTTTACCACCCTCGGGCCTCAGCTTTTGGTCTATAATATATATAGTACTGTCAGCATAGCTGTGTCCACTGCGCGAGACCGCTTCTTTACTATTATGTGCTATAGGGTACCTACAGGAAATTAGGTAAAAGGAAAAAACACACTGTCGGTTATATTTATAAAGTTAAACTGAATTTATTGTTGTACAGCCTTGCTGTTCTCTACATACAAAAACCTATATAGTATTTATATAGAAAGATGTTATTACAACTATATTTAGTACAACTTAGCTCTTTATAGAATAAAATTCTATTATATCCATTAAATTGTCAAACAGTTTATTAAGTTAAAAGTTCAATTATACGATAACTACTGATAAGCGCCCTCTGTGTTCGAGCGGAATCAGTGAATATATATTTACAGATATATACTTACATGTTTGTTACTAAGATTAATACTTTACACAGTTTTTACTTTTCATGTAAGTTCTGAACCGAACACGTAATTACAAATGTAATCAATATCGATGTAAACCTTCCATTTCAATTGAAATGGCTATGTAATTTAAGTTACAGCCAATAAAAATCATTAAATTCAATTCAACAACAAGTATACTTACTCCAGAAACTCCGCAGTCCAAAAGCCGCGGGGGAGGAGAAAAAAAAAAAGACTAAAAAAGAGAGAGTTCTGCGCGGAAAATTAGAATTGCGCAGACTTCTCTTCTCTCTCACTCCTATGAGGAGCTCGCAGTCTCGTGTATCTCGCACTGCTCATAATATACTTACGAGAATCCTTTCACTACATGCATATTAAGTATTTTCGAAGTATAGTTAAAAGTCATTTCAGAACATTGTATATAATTAAAGCATATATAAACTTTCTTTGCTTCTGGCAGTAAGCTGTGTAAGCTCTCTAAAGTACCTAAAGTACGCAGTTGTTCTCGCATACGTGTGAGAAAGCTGTTGACGTTTCTTGAGGACGGTGCATTACTTATATGTATTTTTTTTTTTTTTTTTTTTCATCGAATAGTGTACACAAAGGTACTTGTGTTTGATACAGTGTTCCGATTATTTGAGTTAACAATTCGAATTATTAGTTTTTTTGAGAAATGGAAGGTTTTAAGCTGTGACAGGTGAGGGCTTTGTTATTAATCTTTAATTCCTTCTTTCTCCTTGGCACTATATGTATACACGCACATATATTTATACTCACAACATATTTGTGACGCAGTTTGTTTTTTTTAATCCGGAGGGGGACTTTGTTTGACAATATTTGTTGCGATTATTTTTGACTTTGCAATTCAATGTCACGAAAAACATTCGCGATTCGAAATAATATGTATATATATATTTTTTTTATCTGATGAAATTGTTAACTATGTTTCGAATCATGCCAAAATTTGTCTTTATATTGCATACAAGTCAATTTATTTAATATAAGAATACAATAAAATATAAAAGAACATCTTGCAGTGATTTTATTGTTTTCTTGGTATGATTATAGGATTTTTCTTGTTTCGCTCAAATAACAATATATTGTTGTTTTAGCTTTTGTTCCAGCTGAGCAGTCAAAGACAGCCTATTTTGAGTCCATAGTGATGCCTATGCCAGCCACTTTTTACAGAAGACACTTTGGATTTAAATTTTGGAGAGCACGAACGTCTACAATAACACTAAATTCTGTATTTGAGCACAACTCACAATTGTAGATAATAAGTATATAAATATCTTTTAAAAGCTACTTAAGCATGTCAGCACCAACAACAACGTTTTTACCTTTTTCGCCTCAAAATAATGAGAAAGAATTTTCTCAGTCACTCATTGATTATTCACTTATTAGGGGAAAGGTAAATATTATAAATATATCTTCTATCATTGTTAAAAACTTTTTTTTTTAATCTGTTATTTTTCTGCAGGATGTATTGGTCAGTCCATCTGAAGACCAGTATGAATTATTATTGAAGAAACTGAAAGAAAGAATTCAAGATGGTGGCAGTGAAACTATATTTGAAATCGGAGTTGGAGGAGGTGAATTTTAATACAATTTTTATCATTTCAATAAAATGAAATTTAGGTAGATGAACAACAACACAGACCAAAATTGTTTGTTTTATTTAAATTTAGATGGATCAGAAGATGGTTTGAAAGACGATGAGTATGAGGCATCAGTGGCTACTCTTCAATCATTGGCAGCAACTCTGGAAGCAGATTGTGTCTTATTGCGTCAAAATAAAGTGGAACGCAAGCTGACAGGACAATATTTAGTCAGAAAACGTCTAGATCAACAAGACTTTTTGGAAATAAGGTGTGTACATGTAGAAAACTACGCAAATCAATAGCAAAGATAAAATGTAATTTTTCCTTTAATAGGGTTGCTGTAGTTGGCAATGTTGATGCTGGAAAATCGACATTACTTGGTGTTTTAACCCACGGAGAACTTGATAATGGACGAGGATTGGCACGGCAAAAATTATTTCGACACAAGCATGAAGCTGAAACTGGAAGAACAAGTTCAGTTGGAAACGATATTCTTGGTTTTGATAGTGTCGGTTAGTAAAATTTGTGTAAAAGTATTATTTCATGCCATTTTACTTATTAATCTTCCAATTTATTTAGGGAATGTTGTTAACAAACCTGAGCATGGATCTCTAGACTGGGTTAAAATTTGTGAAAAATCTTCTAAAGTCATTACCTTTATTGATCTTGCTGGTCATGAACGTTACTTAAAAACCACAGTATTTGGGATGACTGGACACGCTCCAGATTTCGGTTAGTCTCCACATCAATTAAAATTTAAAATTTATAATATAAAATGGTTTGTCCTTTACTGTTAGGTATGTTGATGGTTGGTGCAAACGCTGGTATTGTCGGAATGACAAAAGAACATCTTGGATTGGCATTAGCACTGTCGGTACCAGTTTTTGTTGTTGTGACAAAAATTGACATGTGCCCGCCAAATGTATTACAAGAAAATCTGAAGCTGTTAATGAGAATCCTAAAATCTCCTGGCTGTAGAAAAGTTCCAGTTACTGTAAAAACTCCTGATGATGTAGTAATAAGTGCTACTAACTTTGTATCCGAAAGGTTCGTGTGAAAAGAAGTTTTTAATGTGGACCTTCTCAGAATTACTTTTAAGTATACTTTATTTTTCTTCCAGGCTATGTCCGATCTTTCAAGTTTCAAATGTAAACGGAGAAAATCTAGATCTCTTGAAAATGTTTTTGAATCTATTAACTGCCCGAATTACTAGTCATGACAATGAACCTGCCGAGTTTCAAATAGATGATACCTATTCTGTTCCTGTAAGAGTATAATAATAATAATTTTTTTCACCTCGTTTTAATCTGAAATAAACATAATATGATTTTTAGGGAGTAGGAACTGTTGTTTCCGGGACAACTTTAAAAGGCGTTATACGCTTGAACGATATATTACTTCTTGGACCGGATCCCCTTGGACATTTTCAGCAGATTGCTGTTAAAAGTATTCACAGAAAAAGAATGCCCGTGCGTGAAGTGCGTGGTGGACAGACTGCAAGCTTTGCTTTGAAAAAAATCAAAAGATCGCAAATTCGCAAGGGTATGGTAATGGTCTCACCAGCTCTCAATCCGCAAGCTTGCTGGGAATTTGAGGGTGAAATATTAGTCTTGCATCACCCAACAACCATTAGTTCACGCTATCAAGCAATGGGTACGTTAAATTTAACCAAACCGTCCATTATGAAAAAAAAAAAAAAATTTGTTTTAATAAAAAATTAATTTCAGTACATTGTGGCAGTATTCGACAAACTGCGTCAATATTGTCCATGTCTCAAGACTGCTTGAGGACAGGAGATAAGGCTTTGGTTCACTTTAAGTTCATAAAGCATCCAGAGTATATAAAACCTGGACAACGAATGGTTTTCAGAGAAGGTCGTACTAAAGCTGTAGGCAACGTTTTGCGATTAATCCCACACACGGGACCATCTGTTGCACATTTATCTTCCAGGATTAATAAACCAAATAAGCCGCAACAAAATCGACAGAATACAAATGCACAAGTAATACTCCTTCGTCATTATCACAATTACAATGATAATCAGTTGACAAATTTAAAAATATTCGTGAATTTATTTTCAGATGTCAGAAAATCCGGAAGCTAATAATAGCACAGACACTCAAAATACCAAGCGCGAGAATACATCGCAAAAACAAAGTTCAAATCCTGCGAAAAAAGGTAGGGCTAGAAGAGGACTAACACAAAACAATGGCAGTAGCTCTGTGCAACCACTTGTGGAACAGAATCCTCCTTCAAATATTTAAATGATAAATAATTATGTATAAAGTATACATAAATCTTTAATTATTATTCTATATAGTTCTAAAATAGTGTTAATGTGTGAAAAAAGTGTAACTTAATATGTTTATTTCAAGTATTAATAAGATGGATAATTATTTTTATAATTCATGACATGTTCTAACTACGAGGTAATATGCTCGTATTATTGCAGGAACGTTGTATTATCAGATAGAATTTTACTTGAGTATACATTTAGGTCAAATAAGTAATGACTGAATGAGAGAGTATTATATTGGACAACAAAATTATTTTTGTGAAAAAATATTTGAAAATATTCATCCAAATCAAAATTTAAAAAATGCACAATTTAATGGTTTAAAGCATACATGTAAGAAAATGTATTTCAAAAAGTTCTTGTTCTATTTTTCAGAACTTCTAATGTATAAATATGACATAATAAAGAATTTGAAAAATCAAAAAAATTGTTTGTTTGTACCTTTATTTTAACAGTATAACCAAGTTGTTAAAATCAGTTTATTCATACGAATTTTTTATAGATAATTTTATCCAAATAATATTTACGTACTAATGTTTAGAATACCTTTATTTGTTCTGAGAAGAAAATATATAAATTCTTATTGACCAATAGACGTAGTTACATCATGAAATTATTATTCAACATTTTGAAACTCCCACACAGGTGGAAAGAATTAAATATATACACAGGAAGTATGTGTGTGTAACACAATGCTGTTTTATAAGGGTAGATTAATCATTTTTATTTGAAAAAGAAAAAAATATTATAAAAAGGAGTTTGGGTACGTAATTAAAAAAAAAAAGTATTTTTCACAAAAAATACTCTATTTTTGTTATAACCAATTTTTTAACAATTGAGATCTTGCGTTGTAGTCTCTGTTGCGAATTTATTTTGATTGCTTTCTTTTTATTTCTTCCTGAGCTGATTTCAATTCTTTTTGAAAGTCTGTAGAAAATCTTTTTGCAGCCGAAAATATTTGTTGAGAAAATTCTTTACTGTTGGTAGGTAGTTGATGTGAGCCACTAAAAGAACTAGTTCTACTTAATAAGTAAACTACCATTTGCGCTGCTCTTCTCATTGGTTTTGAATCAGCTAACTTGTTAACTAATTGCTCATTGTTGGCCAAATACCGGAGGATGAACCTTAATACCATTTTGTACCGTGTATGTACTGACAAAAATTGATTTAACTAAGCTTTTGGCACTTCAGGTGTGCACATATTACGGTATTTGAGAAGAAGTTCCCTTTTCAGTCTTAATTGATTTCTAAGAGTTTCCAGTTTTTGTAGCTGCTCTTCTTTACTATACTCGATTCCAGGAAGTCTTTTGATCTGCAATATATTTTTTGTGTTAAATTACACTCAAAAAAATTGAGTAACCCATGAATAATGATGGAAACAAAGTTAAACCTGAGCTCTGGCAGAATCCAACTTTTTTTGTAATTCTAAAATCTTTTGACTCGTGTCTTGAGATTCTTTTGCTTTTTGAGTAGTATCATGTGGATCTTTTTCAACGCTAAAAACATTTGACATTTGGAGTTTCAATGGAAAGTTCAATAGCAGAGAAAAGATTGCACAATAGTTGTGAAAGTTCTTGTATAATGCATCAAGAAGTAAACATATAAAGTATGTCTATTAATCTTAAGTTAAACATTAAAAAAAAAGAAGGCGAACCTTCGAATGATTTCGTAAATAACTGGAAGGATTTCAATATCTAAATCTGCGACCGTAAACTGATTATTATTGGGTGCTTCTTCAGTCAACTCCACAACTTCCATTGTAATTTATAGATAGAAAAAGCTCAGTTTAATGCACTTTTTTCCATTATTTTTATTTTCTTTCGATTTTGACGCCTCAACACACTGTTTGTACCTGTTTTACGACTCTTCCTTATAATTGCACTTTTATAATTTGACTAACAAAAAAGATAATTTAGCGACCTCAATTCATGAAACACTGTTTGGCAATGCTTGCAAATTGCAAATCCTTTCCTTTCAACTCGATCACCTTAGCAGACAACATTCACACTGATACGTCATGGGCGAAATAAATAACATCATCCATATATATATATATATGTATTTTTATTCATCGACGATGATCGATTTAGTCTCTACCATCGACTATATAGTCGAGTTAGCAATCTTAAAAAAAACTCGCTTGTGAAGGTCACTAATCAATATTTTCATTCATAAATAATTAAGAGTGTTTTTATTATAAACTTTACGTACTATTAATATCGTCAATGTCATATGAACGTATACGTAAATTTTCACACTGACTATTTGAAAAATTTGAAAACATTCAGTATTTAATAAGAAAAGTTTGATAAGCGGTTATAAAAACCATAAATTAAAAATCTGTATGTAATGAATCCAAATTGTATTTATTTTTTGTTTACATATTATTCGATAAGTATTTTTTAATTAAAAACCAAATTTAACCAAATACCATTTAAAAATGAAGCGCCTACCCGCGTCATGAAAAAAAAGGAGGCGTCTACTTTGCGCACGCAGCGCGTAAAATTGTGGAAATTCAGCACGAGGAGGCGCTCTCTCGTCGCAAGTTAGAACGACCTAACCTCCATCATCTCTTTCACGCGAAGTTTAGCTCGCGTTGGTATGTGATTTATAAATTTTAATCCCAAATATACATTAACATCTTTAATCACGCAAATGATATAATTGTGCTGTTTTAGAAGACTGATAATCATACATCTGAATTTATTAATAGTTATTTGTTCACTACATACGTTATTTTTGTTTTTTTAGGTCAAAATGGGTCGCCGACCAGCAAGATGGTAAGAAGATCACCTCGAGAGTTTTATTAGTGTCATTTTTTTTTCTTATACTGTTTGTCATCAAATTCTGCATGTTATTTTTTTCTTTTACAATTTTTCACTAAAATATAACGATCCCTACTAATGTATGATGTAGCTTTTAAAGTTGACATTTGAAAACATTAGGAGGCATTGCACATTTTCTCCAGTAGATGTGTATCACTTGCTATATTAATAATATTTTTCGTTGCAGTTATCGCTATTGTAAAAACAAACCGTACCCAAAATCTCGGTTTTGTCGTGGTGTGCCAGACCCCAAGATCAGAATTTTCGATTTGGGAAAAAAGAAGGCATCAGTTGAAGACTTCCCACTTTGTGTACATCTTGTGTCCGACGAGTATGAACAGCTTAGTTCTGAAGCACTTGAAGCAGGACGTATTTGTGCAAACAAATACATGGTCAAGAACGCTGGTAAGGACCAGTTCCACATCAGAATGCGGCTTCATCCGTTCCATGTTATAAGGATCAACAAAATGTTGTCCTGTGCTGGAGCTGACAGGTAAACGTGACTGTGCAAAGTGTTTTAAATATTGCTTGTTTCTTATGATTATTCAGTATACTTGACAGTTTTTAAAAAGATTTCGTATTTGTTGAAGCAAACCATTATGAATTAAAATTTCAAAGTATTAAATGTGTAACGTGAAATTTCTGCTTAGAACTGTACCAAACATGACCATGAAATTTAATTGAAACTTTATTCATTCATATATCTATTTTTTACTGCAAAAATTAAGTAAGTTATGTAGATCTAAATAATGAATACTATCTTTAACTGCCATGTAAAGTCTGAATAGAATTAATTTGACACTGCACAATATTTTATTTAAAACTTCGTGCGGTACTATTATTAGGCTCCAAACTGGGATGCGTGGTGCCTTTGGTAAGCCACAAGGAACCGTGGCACGAGTACGCATTGGACAGCCCATCATGAGCATCAGGTCGTCCGATCGTCATAAGGCGGCTGTTATCGAAGCTCTTCGCCGTGCCAAGTTCAAGTTCCCTGGCCGTCAAAAGATCTATGTCTCCAAGAAGTGGGGCTTCACGAAGTACGAGCGCGATGAGTATGAACAATTGAGAAACGATGGTCGTCTCGCTCCTGACGGCTGTAATGTTAAATATTTACCAGAACATGGACCTCTTGATAACTGGAAAAAGTTTAGGGAAATTTTGGCCGCTTGATTGATTACTTATGTGATTTGTATTCAACTATGAATAAAAAATTTTTAAATCTATTTAAATTACGTCTTATTTGTCAGAAGCGAATCAGAAAAAAAAAAAAAAAAAAAAAAAAACAATTAGAAGTATTGATCTCGAAATTGTACTAGAGTTTTTTTTTTTGTAAAACCAATGTATTACGAGTTCAATTAAATGAAATTTACAGATATGAAAATGTTTTATAGTGGGTATGTTCATAATTAAGAAAAAAAATTTTTTTTGTTTCATAACTTTATTTTATAAAAAAAAAATGTATCGTTGCATTTAGCTACTGAAATAAAAAAAATGGAGCAAATCTAATGCATCAAGATAAAATTAGAAATTGTATAAAGTTTTCTACATATGGTTCATACAAATTTTTAGTAAATTATGAAAATACTGAAAATTTTTAGTAAATTATGAAAATACTGAAAATTTGACAACCATCACTCAACCATGATCAACTTAAGAATACAATAGAATTTTTATAAATGTTATTCAAAAAAGTCTGTATACGGCAGATAATTGAGATAGAAGCAAGTTAATACTCAAGTATATAATACAATAATTTAATAATTATAAACTGTACCGAAAATACCTCTTGCAAGAGTTAATAACAATAACTTAAGAATAAAGTAAAATATGTATGCTATGCAAATTTTTAAAAAATATATATGTAGGATAGTCAAGCAATTGACTACCAAACAATCCTAATCTAAAACTTGCTTCAAAGTTGTTAAAGCATGGTATGCTTTTATTTGTAGAAAAACATACTTAAATCTCTACATCAAAAGTAGTAATTAGTGAGAATGACAAGTGCTATCATTTTGAGTTTCATTTTCACCATTAGTCAGTTCGTCATCTACATCAATTTCACATATTTTTCGAGTTGACCTGTCCAAAGCTTCGGTGCTGGCCGTTGTATCCAAAAGAGGGGATAACTTTTCGCCTTCGCTGTCTTCATCTTGATTTTGGTTCTATAAACAACGCACAGCGTATGTCACTGGTTAATTTTTTAACAAGTAAAAAAATATTGATAGGGATTGAAAACAATTTCTCACCTCATACAAAGATGCAGCAGGTTGCTTCTCGTTAACAAGTCTCAAAGTATCTCGCGTTCTGAGACTCGACTTATCACGTGCATGATTACACGATTTATTACGAGGAATCGGCGAACGGTTGTGAAGATCTTTTTGTGACCCGGAATTCTCTCCTTTGGCCAAAAGAACGGACATGCGAAATTCTGGCGTTGGACAAGGCGCACTGCTGGTTCTTGGTATTATGTCACCATCTTTGGATAGTGAATGTTTCGATATCGCGGTCCGTTCAATAGATCTGAAAATAAAAAAATTTATAATTACACAATACAAGATTTCTTGAAAATGTTTTATTTTGCCAATCAACGTGCCGATTAAGAATCTCAGCAGCTTGGGTAGCACTTGCAGTGTCCGTGTCTGGTGTATCTGGAGATTCTGGAGGAAGAATGGTAGCCCTAGGAGTGTAGGGTCCATTTAAAGCTTCTATCAAGGAAACAGCTTCGTAGCCCGCAGGTATCGTTTCATAATTTTCCTAACGACATGTGTGTAAATGTATTGCATTGGTACTTAATTTTTTTTCAATGTTAATCAATTACTGTGGGAAAAAAATACCTCTGAGAGAGGTGGATTAGTTATTATCGAGCCAGTTGCTTTTTGGAGAGCTTTAATTTGAAGTAAGGCTCGAAACGGGGCTCGACAGATCGGGCAGTTATTCGCTTGATACCTCAGCGAATCGGCGCACCCATTGCACAAGCATAAATGCCTACATGGTAAGATTAATGTATCGCGTACGTCGCACATGCAAATGACGCACTCAGCCCCATTATCTTCTGCATCTTCATCATTTCCCTGTAAGTGGAAAAAAAAAATAAAAAATTTTTTTTTATTTTAAATTTTGTCTGTTACAACAATAAAGTACAACCTTTGGGTTATCAGTGTTTTTATTCTCTATACCATAAATCTCCTGGAGCAAGTAACATAATCCATCAACGTACAATTTTTGTTTCAATGCTTTTAATACATAAGATCCATCAGAATGTTTTTCTACAACAGCAACAGTCGTGTGAGATTGTTTGGGCTCATCAGATCCTTCTTCCGCAACGCAATGAATTGCTATAGGAATTATCTATCAAAAAAATTTCTTCCGCAACGCAATGAATTGCTATAGGAATTATCTATCAAAAAAATATATCACTCAAAATAATTATTTGAGATGAAAAAAAAAAAAAAAAATGTACGAACAAAAAAGCATACTTCTTTGTCAGTATTGTAGGATAACTCTTCATCAGAATATTGGGATGGATCAAATACGTGTGATGTTTGGCTAAACAATTGATTAGCTCCTTTTTTATAGTAATATGTGTCAGAGTTCATCACAGGATCCTTTGGTATGTACCTGAATAAATAATTATTGCAAATCAAATCCCAATATCCCAAGTTCCTGTAGTGTTCGCAAAATTTACTTACGCAACTCCTTTGGCTGTAACTTCCTCTGTGCAAAAGTAATAAATAGTGATGGCGCATCTTACATCGCAATCAAAGGTAAACTCTATGTTAAAATAAGTCGATTTTTTATCTTTGTTTCCTTCGTTACAGTTTTTAACTGCAGTTTGCTGTGCAACTGGAGATTTTTCAAGATTTCTCACTAAACGCAATGACTCCTTTCTTATGTTTACTAAGCTTTTAAGTGTCTTTGTAGGATCATTTGCTTGGGGTGGTGGATATGGAAACTTGAATCAATAAATCGAATGTAAAAACAAAAACCAGCCATAAAAAGTTTGATTAATTAATATTAGTAATTGTACATACTGGAGTTGGTCTATTTCCTAAAAAGTTCAAGTCGGTATTCTCTCCAAAAAGATATGCTTCTGGCTGAGGTGTGTCGAATCTCTCTCCTCCCATGATAAAATGACTTCCAAAATAACTTCCTGCATCAAATTTTAACGAATCGCTCAACCAACCAAGTCAAATAAACTTTATAAGAACATAAACAATGTTGATTTTACCGGAACGAGGAGGGTATTTGTAGGCATGATTGGAAACAACGTCAACTTCCTCGACACCAGCATTTTGTCTACTAGTCAAAGATCCCATACCCTTCAACTGTAAAATAATAAAAGTATTGAAAACTTTATAAGCTACTGATAATTACAAATCAACGTATACTGTGTTTCATTAATTATCGTATTTCCATCAACTTACGGTTGGCCCAAAGGCCACTAATGAATTTATTCCGATGGTAGTAAACAATACAATTCAAGTATCATTGAACTTCATTATGTTTAAATTTGTTACGATATGCATAGAACAATAATATGTTAGTATTTTTATGAAATTTATATACTATAAAAACGTCAAAAACGCGTAAAAAAAGTTAGTTGCAAACAACAATGCAGTACACACACTTGTTTTGCACTTTATTCTGCAGATGCAGACTCAGACAAGTGCCAAATGCCAAACAGGAGTCGCAAACATGAACGTAAACACAACACCTTTGCAGTCGGTATTATCACTTCTACTGTATCAGTTAGTACTCGATCGGTACACATTGCATTCACAGTTCACAGCTTCGGCGGCTGTAGACTGTAGACTTGTATTGTACTGTATACCTATATATATTTTAAAGCTATACAATATATATAGCATAGCAGTAGACAAAAGATTAATTGACACATTGTTGTGGTTATATATTACATGTTAACTCGTATTTGTTTATTTCTAATATAAAGTGAAAAAAAATCGAAAAAAACGTAAAAGTTGGGAAATGAGAAAATATGGGATGGTATAGGGGCATTGTGGTGTTGTATATACGGTTACAAGTAAAAAAAAAAATGCGTGCACGTAGACGTAGATGATATTTTTATACAGTTGAAATATCTATAGAGAGTAGTTCAAAGAGAGAGAAGGGGGCGGATGTGTGTATATACTCTCTCTTATTTATATTATACCTAGTGAAAATGCAAATTGCAACCTGAGCTGAACTGTTGTGTTGTGCTTGTGCTGATGTACAGTTCTGATTTTTGCGAGACACAACAAACGTATGGCGTGTCAGAACACTAAGTTGGAGGACACAGAGAGATCATGTGTAAAGTGTACGACCATGTTGGAGCAGCACTAGTGATCAGGAGCAACCAAATACACTTGGGCGCACGATAATTACATACTAGAATTCACTAAGCGTGTCTAGTACAGCACGCCAAGCACCTACTCATACATACTTGCCATCGAAACAAACAGCTTTTTTTGCTGCTGAATGGTTTGTCATATATACATACATCTATGTACAAGATACTTATTCTGAAGCATTTGCGCATATTTTTTTATCCTTTCATCAACGCTTTGTTCATCGCTCTCTCTCTTCCTAGTTCTTGATTATCATTTCTGTATGACTAATGCTCGATGCTCGTTTACACCAATGTTATCATTGTCTATTTCATTTTTTACACACTATTGGTGAAACTCGTTAGGTATAATTACAACTTTCAAATGTAGTGTTTTCCAAAGCCAAATGATAATAAAAGTGTGTATAAATTTTTTAGGCTCTCCGTATGATGTCTGCTATTGTGCCAAGCACTGTCAATAGGGATGATAAAAACCAAACTGTCGATCGCGCGGAAGAGAGATCAAAACTCCAGGAAGACCTGTTAGCAGCTACAAAACAGTGTCACATTAGATTTGGTGGAAAAACCGAGTTGGCCACAGAGTCCGATGCATGTGTTCATCAATTGTGTTGCGTTTTTGAACAAATTTTCTTTCATGGACTAAAACCCCATGCTTCAGAGAAACAAAACCAATTAACTTCGATAGCTGCTTTAAGGTGCCTTACTTTCAGTAACGTAAAAATTGGATTTAAAAAAAAAAAAAAAAAAAAAACAAAAAACAAACAAACAAAAAAAACAATTAACCATTTTGCTATTTTAATTAGACAGGTATCGGAATTGGTGACTGGAGGTGGTTCCAAAAATTCCGAAAGCTTTTGGCCATGTATCCGCCAACAACTGACTTGGCATGAGCAGGAGCGTTTTAGCGTGCTACAAAAGATTCAAACGGATCAAGGTCGTGGACGCGCCTGGCTTCGCGCTGCCTTAAATGAGCGGTCACTTGAACGGCACCTCCATTCCATCATCAATCCCGAGGTAATTGAGCCTTATTATAATGACTGGGCCTTTTTACTCGACCAGGAGAAATCTTCCATGCTGCCCAACGTTGCTGCTGGTAAATACGTATTTATATAAGTTACAAATTTCATTAATTCTCTTTTTTATACCGCACGTGTATGTATGTGTTTACAATTACCCAGTGTATAAATTTTTTCATTTTCAGGTCTCACAACAATTCTTTTTGCAATAAGTATAGATAACAGTGAGTTTGACAATAGTTTAGAACAAAATAGATTGATAAGATCAAAAAATTTACATTCGGAACCAATTATCCCTCCAGTATTACCAGGTAATTAAAATATTACATAGTTTGAGTGAACAATTATTCTAATTTAATTGGTTAATTTTTAAGGCTCATCAATGGCTTCTTCAAAAGCACGAAAAAAAGTTCCAGCTCATATCATATCCTTTGATGATGATGAAGATAACGATGATCATGACAATAGTAATGATAAGCATCGAAATAGTTTATCAGTCAGTGCATCTTCTGCGTGTTTAAGTTCACCAGTAGCAACATCAACTAACGAAACTCCATCAACTCCAACTTCAACAACTTCTACATCAAAATTGCAATCAAGCACAGATATGGAAGACGTTGTTTTGGATATTAAACCTATTACGTGGACCGAAAGGTATTGATAAATCATTTTATACGTAAAATTGAGTTTAGATAATATACTACACGTATATATAAATATTTGAAGAGATGCTTACGAGGAAGAAAGGCTTTTAACGCCACTGACTGATACCGAAAATATGGGTGGATTAGTACCAGTCTCACCATTGAGCAATGCTCTGGATGACATGATGATTAGTTTGCCAAGTTACCTAGAAGTGAGTGTTAAGATATAACATTTTTTTTTAAGTATTAAAATATTACTTAAAAGGAACATAACTTTCAGGATTCAGAAGTGGCTGAAGCAGCAGTGGAAGCTACCGAGCCGCTTGTAAATATGCAACTTAGTGATGACAGTTTAGATGTAGAAAGTTTGCGTGCTAGACTTTCATCATTAAACAACGTTTTGGAGCAAACACGAGAGGATGCATTAACTAGTAAATTTCAGCTAGCCCGTTTTCAAAGACAACATCAAAATTACCTCGAAAAGCATGAATTACAAATACAAACTTTAAATAGGTGAATAACTACTTTTTTTCCAGTGATAATTTTTTAACGCATAAAATAACGCAATGTTAATTTTAGGGAAAATGAATTGCTTCGCCAACAATTGCGCAAATACGTTACAGCGGTTCAAATGTTAAAAAAAGATTCAGATACGAACAATATTGTTTCCGTAGAAGATTCGTCTTTAGACTATCACAAGGAATCTCAAGAATATCAACATAAATTAGTTCAAGTGGCCGAAATGCACGCCGAACTCATGGAATTCAATGCTCGATTAACAATGCAATTGACAAATAAGTGAGTATCTCGTGAGATTTAAAAAAAATTGTATAAATTATGAAATTACGTAAAAATGAAAAAAAAATTTCAGAGAAAAACTGTTAAAGCTGCTAAGAGCAGAATTGGAATATCTTCGCGGTCCAATAAATGAAGAAGATTTGCCTTTAGAAGTGCCATGCTTCATACATATATGGATACCATCTGCATTTCTAACGGGTCAACCATCAGATATTCACCACGTTTATCAGGTAAAAAAAGTATTAATTTTCTTTAATCGTATATGACATATCGACTAAGAAAACCTACATATTTTTCCTATAATTTTTTTTCAGATATACGTTCGTATTAAAGATACTGAATGGAACATATACAGAAGGTATGCCCAATTTTATTCATTATATCGAGAACTGAAGAAACACGATGCACTGATTACATCTTTTGAATTCCCACCGAAAAAAACTTTGGGAAATAAGGTATATTATTTTAGAGCAATTGATAAAAACTTTTATGCACGTGTAAACGCAGCCATTAATCGAATTACTGATTACAGGATGCCAAATTTGTTGAAGAAAGAAGACAAAAATTACAGCAGTGGCTAAGACGAATCGTAAATAGACTTTCTCATTGTTCACCAGCATTTTTATCTTGCCCAAGCAAACAAACACTCATTTCACTGATGCCTTTCTTTGGGTAATTACTTTTTTACACCATTTTTTATCGAGTTGTAAAAACATATATTTATACATTTTTTAAATAGTGATTTTCCAAACGTTGAAGAAGTTAAAAGAGATAATTCTGCCAGGAATACATACTCATCGTCGCCCCAGTATATGGGCTTGTAATTGTTATATTTTTAAATAATTTGTAAATATTAAGTATATATGATACTGTACATATTAATATATTTATGTAACTTTTAAATATTGATTTCAAGGGAGATTAAAATAAAACTTTTTTTTTTACTGACCTTATTTTCGGTTCAATTTTTTCTAGGTTTAAAATTAAAAAAAAAGTTATTTGTATTACTCCCTTGATTCACTAGGCGTTGAAATGATTTGTTTCTTTTGTGGATTGTAAAAATGAATTTTAAACAAAGTGTTGAAATATATATATATAAAAAAGTTGGACTTTTATAAAAAAAACAATGTGCTTTTCTTTGTGTACTCTACATTACCTATACAAAATTATTTTTTCAGTAAAATAATTTACTAATTATTTTACAGTCAAAGGGCTGTTGTGTATAGAAAGTGCCTGAAATCATTAATTAAATGACAAAAAAAAAAATTAACTAAAACTTTTTCGCCCCGTCAGGTGCAATAAATACAACTACTCAAGCATCGGACTCCATCCACCGTTATACATTTTAAAAAATATAAACAAAATTTTCAAGAGTTAGGAAAAAGCAGTTATGTTATGCCTCTATTAAATACTTTGACTTGATAAATTTAAAAATCTGATTTTCGCGTAAATCTCCGATCTGATATTTAAAAAAAACGTCATATATTTCATCATTAAACGTAAAAACGACAATGTACAATATTTGTTACAAGTTAAATTTAATAGCTGATAAAAATTAAATTTGGAAAAAAAATATCGTCGAATGAAATATACTCAATCACAAGAAAACTATGAAAAATAATGTATCGTTTTTCTCACTAACTCAGATAAATTGTTTGATGCGGGTTGCTTTAAACCATAAAAATGTGACCCAAACTCACAGTGGAGTCAAAGCCAAAAAAGCTGGCAAAAAGTAAAAAATAAAGTTTCTACTTGGAAGCGTCATCCTAAAAACTGAAACCATGTATGCGCCTTTTCTCGTAATCTCGTCGTAAATCTCAGTCGGAACACTCGGAACGTGGTCAATAAGGGAATGAAGGGGTGAACTTATTAAAAATATGAAATTTGTTATCAGCGACCCAAAAAATACTGAAGTAAATTTTTTAATAAGTACTTGATTTTCTGATTTTTGGCTAGCTTTTTCGGATTTGACCCCACTGTGAAACGTATTAAATAATAATAATGATATTAAATTTTAAAGTTGCAAATTAAAGGTACATACAATAGAATGAAAAAACTTCATAATCGATAAAAAAAAAACCACTTAATTTTTAAACTAATATTATCTATGATAACTTTAAGATGATCAAATTTCAGAATATGTAGCAGAATCGTTTTTCCATATTCTTGTTTTAATCTAGTCTTTGGATTTTATTAAAATAAAAAAATTTTCAGTAAAAACGAATTTAAAAAAGTTTTGTGTTTAATAGCTGACAGCGGTTTTGAAAATAAGAACTCATAGATCTTACCTAGTAGTTCCAGTGCACAATACTGGCACTTAGCGCTCGATCTCGGTACAGTGTTATCAATTAACAGAACAAGAATTTTGGTAAGATTTTTACACATAATGTACACTTTTATTTCATATACATGCTGAATTAAAATAAAAAAGTGCTTAGATATAATTTTTATCGAATCCAGTGTAGTAATACAAATTAAAAAATAATACAAGTGATAATCAAGAATGCCTTTGAAAAGCATTTACTGGTATTTTTTTTGTATAAACAACGTATTGTTTTTAAAATCAAAATTTTTTGTAACATTATATACATTATTTCTCGTGTCGTTTAATTTATTAAGACAATTTAAAAAATCGATAATTGCCGTATCTACACTCATTCAATTTATACGTTTAAACTTCATAATGTTCAGTTAATATATATGCAGTGTTTTGAATTATATCGCAATGTTGTAATAGGGGCATATTTATTACAATACTGGTCATTCCCGTATTGTAACAAATAAATAAATAAATGTTGTGTAAAACGATAAATCGCTTCATTTATAATTTACAATAGATTTACAGCTCAACAAACTAAGTTTTGCGTCCCTAGGACCTATTGATGTCTAAAATTTCAAGAGATTCTGTTTTACATCTGTTTATCTTATTTAACTCCATTTCTAAAATTCTCGCACCATAAGTATTTCTATGATCAAAGGTCTTAAGTTTGAAAAAAATCATTCAAGTTGCAGTCCTAGGGCTAACTAAATTTTGATAATTGACAAGAATTATTAAGCTTTTCTGAAACCTGCTCAGATATTTTTCACATCGAATAATTCGTAAGATATGTTAAGATAAGAACCTACATGTTAAATCATTCTTTGAACAGTTTCCAATAGTGTTGACTATGAATTTTTTTTTTTTTTAATTGGAAGTAATTTTACTTTTTGTAATCTTAGAGCAGTCTTTGCCACTTTTTGCCACATTTTTGTAATTTATAAATAAGGCGAATAATAATAATAATATTAATAATAATTGAGTTAACATACCGTTGTATTGCACGAATGTTAACATATGTAGTCTATTTGGATATAATTATCGATAATTTTTAAATACTCTTTTTCGATAAACTATTATAGAGTTATGAACTTGAAATATTTTTATAGTTATACATTTTTTACGGAAATAGTATTCTTTTACATTTTTTTTTCTTCAAGATTTATACAATATTTACAGTTATAATATAAAATGTGTTGAAAATACCTTGATAAGTTTGCATCNAAATTTGTTAATGGGAGAAAGTAACAACATTTTTGTAAATAATTTTTTTTTAAATGAAAATATGGATAATTTTTTTGTGCAACGAGACAAAGTACCTTAATACAACATTTTCTCTCCTAAACTTAAAAATATGTATTTTGGCGTGTTCATGTGACGTAAAATCGAAAGTTAGAACTAACTTTTTCTTATGAAATTAATTTTTTTAATTTCATTGAAATCTATAACGTAATACAGTTTTTAACTTTGTTTTTTATTACATGCTAATTTGTATTTATGATGAATAAGTCTAAATATTTTGTTTCATGTAATAAAGTTGAGTCATTTTAAAAATATTATTCACAGAATTTGTAAAATAAAAAATTAAAGTTTGGCAAGAATCTGTCTTAAAATATAAAATAATACATTAAAATGGAAAGCTTAAAACTTAATGTAAGTACCTTGCAAAAACCTAGAAAGAAGCGGGATTTTTTATCGTAATAAATCAAACATTAAAATAAAACATTAATAAATTTCAAGAGAATCCGATTACGAAAGTCTGCCGAATTTGTTAGTAGCATAACAAGTAACAATCAATCATGATAGTATGTCCAAGATTTTAAGAAATATAAACCGAATAAAAGAGAGCCTATAAATGTGCCAGGTACCTTAAGGTTCACCACTAAAATTTGTTATAATTTTAAACAAGTGTAAACTTGTTAAGCTTCAATTTTTTAAAATTTACAAATTCTCATATTTAGTTATATTCTAATTTTCACCTTCTATATTAAAACTTACTTAAATTCAAAAAATTGCGCTAGCTCGAAGTAATGTATCGTAGGCTAATTTAATTTGGCAAACGGTGATGAAGTGAAGTAAAAAAAAAAAATAACTGAATGTGTACAGAAGCAGCAGCAGCAGCACTAGAGATTTGTTATTGTATAAAGCTAGCTATGTAAAAATTGTTCATAAATTTGTTTTTTTAAGAATATTTAAATACACATTTATATACACGTTGTAAAAAATACATACAACCTTTATTGAAAATAAACAGAAGTGAAATGTTAATGAGTCGAAGTAAGTAGAGATCTTCTATTTTCAAAAGAAGTACTTATAATTTGATTTGTAAAGATTATGAAGTAAACAAATAAAAAAGTCTGCACTAAGTATTATGTGACATCAACATCTCAGATACAAGAACGATTATCTAGAAACATTATAAGCATGAAAGATAGAAATCATTCGTATTCCGAGACATTGCAATGAATGTAGGATTGTGCTCCTATCCTTGGTTGTAATTATTGCTATCGAGACAAAATTTACAGACTTATTTTTCGATAAGTACTATTTTTCGATACGAATGAAAATGTATTAATAGAACCGGTTATTTCAATTAATTTATAAAACTCAACATTAAGTTTGCTTCTCGGGGCCCCAACCTACTTTCTCACACAAGGTACCTTCGTAGTATGCCGTAACGGAAATTTTCATTTTTATGAAATTTTTATCTATACAACGTAATTCCTCTTTTCACCCAAAATTTTAGTATAGTACTATTAAAATATTTGTATCCCTTTGAAAATAAAAAATCTCATTCGTAAAATGCACTTCTGACACGATAGTTTGCGTAGATTTTCGCACCACAACTTTAATATCGCGTGTACGTTTACATACGATAATCAGAGAACATCATACGCTTTTGTACGCACACACGTCAAGTTTCGACGTCGACGACCTATCACACTTTACAGTTTTTTAACAATAATGCAATACATTTTTAATTTACATATATTGTCAAGTCCGTTATATTCGATTTTTTTTATTCATCACATTTACCACTCGTACAATCATTCTCGTCATTATTGTAGTCCTGTACTCGTTAAGCTCATCCATTCTTTTTTACAATAACATACTCTGTCTCTTGAAAATATGTGGATTATAAATTTTTCCCTACTTATTGCAGATTATAGTTTTGTCCCATCCTTTCAAGTAGCCTTATGTATCAGATGGCTTCTAAGTCGCAACACTGCTCAAGTTGACCCCACAATAAGCAGCATATTCGTTTACCATACGAAATTTAGCCTTCGGGTATCTTTCTTATATATATTACCTTATTTTCTTAACACGCTCTTTTTTTTAGGCACGGCTACACCACGAGAATGCCTTTTATTTTTACCAGAGCAAAACCCAAATGAATTTTAAGGCTTTCGAATTAATTTTTTATTTGCTTTCAATTATTTATACTTTAACAATACATTTACCCGCATTCAACAAATCACATGATTAATAAAATAACTATTTTATGAAAGAACAGCCATTAGAAATTTATTCATCTTACTTAAATAGTACTTCTGGGCTTTAAAAAAACTGTAAAAATCCCAAGTTGGTAGCAATCGTCTTTTTCTATTTTTATTGTTATGACAGTTCTGTAATTTTAATTCATTTAACTTAAGTAAACGAAAAACTATGCTACATCGTTAATGTCACTGCATGTAGAATCAATAAAATTTCATGGTGGGGCATGAATTATTAAATCAGAATTATATAAATTTCAAGTTAGATTGGTTAAATTTGTGTATATGAAAATCTACGAGTATCTAGCAAAAAATGTTATACATCACAATAACAAAAATACATTCACTTGTACTTTGAGCAATCAAATAAATCTGTCAATTATTTTACGTTCACACCATTGAGTTCAACTGTTTTAAAAACGGCTAAGCTTTTTCTTGTAGTATAAGTTGTAACGTACGAAAGTTGATCATTCTCGCGACGCACCACCTTACTAATCTTTTTTTCACGTAACAAAGTATTCTACAGTAATGAGATCATTATACTTTTAATAGCAAAAATGGTAAAAGATGGTTTTTTATATTTTTATTCAATCTAAAATATTTTGAAATTAACAGTTTGTAGGAAAATGTTGGATAAAAAATTTGTTAATGGGAGAAAGTAACAACATTTTTGTAAATAATTTTTTTTTAAATGAAAATATGGATAATTTTTTTGTGCAACGAGACAAAGTACCTTAATACAACATTTTCTCTCCTAAACTTAAAAATATGTATTTTGGCGTGTTCATGCAGTTAAGAAAAACTATTAGTTGAATGCGCGTTTCGTTAAAAAATTTTTAGTAGGAGCTCCCGCGATAATAAAGTAAATTTATCTAGTATAGGTAAAGATACATGTTAACTCGGAGGTCTACGAAATTGAAATAGATCCACTAAAAAATAAGTAACATAATCAACGTTATAATTATATTTTTGCTCTGGTAACACATGTAGTAGTCGTATGTTGTACGCAAAAAGTGTAGTCTTTTGCATAAATTTAGCCGCTCATTACATTTTTTTTTATAAAAAGCACTCTAACCAGGAAAAATCTGATTTCTCCTTTTATTCGGATTGACGTGTCACCATTCCTTACTGGATACATAAAAAAATACATGTAATAAAGAATAAATGTATAAAAATGTTGATACTTGTCATCATTTTGCTTGTTTAAAAACAAAAAATCATAGAAGTCGCATCAGTCTCCCTACGTGTTAGTTGTAACAATAACATAAAAAAATATCTAATATTTCTGAGCATACACTAGTTATTATAGTATAATAATTACTACTATACAGAAAAAATCAATAAGTGGTTGAGAATTTTTACAAGACATTACTTTCTATTGTGTGCACAAAGCTGAATTACTCTTAACAATAGCTACCTTGAGCTTGTTAAGAATTTTAAAAACATGTACTTTTATGTACATATTGAAACATACACATAGTTTAAGTAAATTTTCATAATTTTGCATCAATGATTCTAACATTTAAATTTAATACTTTTCTCGTTATCTCATTACTAATTTTCTGAATGTTCTCACCCTTGCATTATAAAAATTAGTCATTTAAGACACTTTTTGCACTAAATTTAGAATACACACAACTTTGTGAGTTTCATTTTATATAGAACACAATATTCATTTTCAAACAACTTTTCTTCTTCTTAATTATCACAAATTATTGTTCCTCGTGTATTTGTCGTTATTGTGTTTTTCATCCCTTTATTCGTTTTTTTTTCAATTTTTATTTTTTTATTTTTTAGTCACCTTCAACACTATTAAAATATGCGACAAAGTCTAAGAGCCATTCAATTAAAACTCTTGTTTCACATTTGTCTGTTTGATTTTTGTCTGAGTGTTGATGCAATTCGAAATTCATAGCAACACAATTATTTGGCCCAAAATCAGACCTTTTGAGCCACACTGGGTATCAGCTTACTTTTTCATGGGTAACTATACGCTTCCTTTCTAAATAGTTTATGTAGGTTAGAAAGTATGTGCATTGATTTCTGTTTTGTAAAAGATGCTGACTTCCTAGCCGCAATGTTAATTAAATAAAAATATATGTATTCATATATATGTAAGTCATATTTATACCAGTTAGATTAACGCGTTTCCCACTGAAAAATATAGCCAAGGACTATGGATTTGGAGGTGGAGTTGTTGGCGCTGTGTGTGACGAAGGCGACGTACTAGTAGTAACCATGGTTGGACTGACCTGCTGCAATGGAAGGAACGCCGACCCTAGGCTTGGCTTTAATTGGAATGCAACGCAAGGCTTCGAGCAATAGTCAAGTTTACTCAAATCCGCCATCGGCCGCCTGTCAAATGATTATTGTGCGTTAGTTTTCAGTTTTTTTCTTCCATTTATAAGTAGAGTATTTTCAAGTGCTACAAAAAATTCTCACCTAACTTCTTCAACAAACTTAGTATTGACTTTTTCACAGCCATCTGGTGGTTCTCTAGCGAGAAACCTGTTGATGTGAGGAGAAGTACCCAAGCGTCCTTCTCGTTCCTGCTCTGGCGTGGAGCCACGACTTCCACCTGTAAAAATAAAAGAAAGGTTAAATACTTTCATTATAAATTTAGATGCACAATGAATACCATGCATGACAAAACTAATACTAAATATACACATTATTACTACATATTGTTTACAACAGGAAACAATCTTAACACAACCATGAAAACATTTTTCAAATCTAGCAGTGTTACATTTTTTTTTTTTTTTTCAAGAATCACTTTTTGATAAATTTTTAATCATGATTGGATTAAAATTTTTTGGGGAACAGTAATTAATTTTTAAGTAATAGGAGTAAGAAATTTATAAAAATTTCAAGCAAATACTCGTGAGTGTACGAAAAATAATTGTACGCGAGGACGGCAAATAATAACCAACCACTAATTTGAATACTACTCTAGAAGAAAGAACTACGTAATAAATAAAAAATAGTTTAGTAATAAGAAGTTTTTCAAGTTTTTTAAGTGAAAGCCGACCTTGTAGCAGGTCACTAGATGGACGCGACAATTCCATTGAACCTGGTATTAACGGAGATTCTGAATTCCTAGATGGAGGGCCTGCTTGAAGAAAGGCGTTTATAATTGAATTCGTTGAATTCGTAATTGAATTTACCAGTCCAGTAATCGATTTCAGAAAGAGAAATTTATTTTGAAAGTTAATAAAATAACAGTTTCTGATGTATTTAAAGTTAGTGAAAAATGAGATGAAAAAAAAAATTTACCTGAGGAATAAGAACTCGAAGGAAGATCAGTGGCAGGCGTCTGAGTATTGACACTATTGACACTGCGATTGGCTCTGAATAAATCAGCCAGAGGAGCACGATGACCTTCAGGTGTCATCTGGTCACGATATCTTGCATACTGAAATTGTGAATGAAAAAATAAAAATAATTAAATAAAGAATGGTTGTTTCAAATGTCTTTGATAAAAATGTACAAACCTTATCCTCAATTAGGTGATCTGGATCATTAAAATTGTTAGAGGATTTAAGCACTAGACCTTCGATTTCTTGGTTCAATCCTTCAATCGAAGAACGCATAGGAGGCCTCATAGGTTTTACAGGTATATTCATAGGACTTGCCTTTGTACCTAAGTTAAATTGATTGACTGAAAAAAAAAACCAAACATAAAGCTGATTTCTAGTATCACGTAACAGAAACATTTTTTTTTTTTAATTTAAACCTACAGGCAGACGTTTGTGAAGCAATACTAGGCAAAAGAACAGAGTGATCTCCAGGTAGAGCTGGTGGTGGACCACCAGGCATAATAAGACCAAATGCAGCTGTTCTCTCTCTACTGCTATTGCTTTCCTTATTTGTTCGTTGTTGTAACCTGAATATCAATCAACATTGGTATGATCAATGAATTACTGTATAAACATACTTGTTTGATGAGTATTTAAAAATGTAAAAAAAAAAAAAAAAAAAAAACAACGCACCGATGCCTAAAGTACTTTTCCAGTTTTTCATCTGGAATGCTTTGTTCTGTTGCATGACGGCTGTGGGGCTTTTTGAGCTCATTGGACCAGTCATCAGTCTGCAATCATGAAAAATCAAAAGTGGCTTTTATATTTTGATCAATTGATAACAAGAGCGTGTACAAGCGTGCTGTATGTACCGACCTGAGTAGCCTTGTCGACGAGTAGACTGGTGTGATGCATGTAATGAGAATGAGAGTCGCGGGGCCACTGGCCCTTGAGGTAGATCGTGTCAAGAGATGCGGTCCTGCGGATGCTCTGACCGGCGCCAAGACTGTCGGAGCAACGGGCACTGAGGGTCTTGGACTTGGCAAAGTAGCCCTTGCAAGAAAGGGAACCGGGACTCCGTTGTCCGGAAGCAGCTGCCTCCGGCGAGATTCGGGCCCTCCAGCCACCAGAGCAGCTGGACGACGCAACGTTCGTCGCGCCAGCAGATCCGGCAGCGCTTCCTGAACCAGCACCACCAGCACTGGCAGAACTTGTGGCACCATTGGGCCCAACGACGACGAGGCTCACAACGCCGGTGGGGGTCCCGGTGCCCGTGCTCGTGGCCGCGTTAGCGCTATTGGTCGGCGAGACGTTGGGGCTGCTGCTGTTGCTCTTGCGGGGCCCCCCGGGACCGGCATTGGTGGTTCCGGCGCCGCTACTGCCGGGCGGTTGTTGCCTGCTTTGCCGGAGCAATGAGCTGACGGGCAGAGTGGCCCGCATCGGGCCCTGCTTGCCCGTTGAGCATGGCGAGGACTTGCGCATCCGCTCAATCCGCTGCGATGAGGCCGACATCTTATACCTGCAGTGTCAGCTTTACCCTCAAAGTGCACGTCTAGGTCTTGATCGACCAGCTAGGCGAGACACCAGGTATACGGCGACGAGGATGTTTGCGCTGCTCCAAAATCTATCAGAGGCAGCAGCTAGCACTCTGTGTGCACACTATGGCAAAGAAGGCGCCGATGATGATTACGACGACTCTACGACGACGAGCGCGAAGGGATGCTGGTACTATCTCATCCGCGGGGTATAGAGCTGCAGCAGAGAGAAACCGTGTGTACGAGACTACGAGAGAGAGAAAGAGGTCCGGCAGACCGTGCGTCCGCTGCTGACGCCGCCGTTCTCTGATGCGCTCTGCTGCTCTCTGGCTGGCTTACTATTTCTTTCTTGCCTACGCTCCTCGCGTCGCGCTACCCATACGTAGTACGTATACTACGTACTCCACCACCACGATGACTGCATACGATCGTCGTACTCGTACTCACGTCGTTTACACATTGCACACTCACAAGAGTCCGGGTCGGGTCGTGTTAGGGGACGGGGAGGAGGACACCCCTCTCGGCCTCTCGTATATATAGTAGTACACATATGATAGAGGCTCTTTTTTATACACGCGCGTGTCTTGTTCCACAGTATAATATTCCTCTCTCCTCTCTCTTTCTTCTCACCATGCACACCGCAAGACTCACAAGAGTACGTCCGCGTTCTATATAACTGCTGTCGTATCTTCCTTTCCTCTCTCTCGCGTCTCGCGCTCTCTTCTCCTCTCTCTTACGGCTATACGTGTCTTTTTCTTTATCTTCCCCGATGGGCGATTGTATATGTATAGTACCAAGGATTTAGGGTACTGCTGCTGATATTTTTTTGTAAACTAATTATCATTTAATTCATTATACCTGTGTACAAGGGTATATTATGCTCGAGTATGCTCAATTCTTTTCCGGCTGCTACTTGAATATATATATATATAGGTATACAACCTCGTCGAGTCGACGTCGTCTCGTCCTTCGTTCAGCCGTTCATTGTTAAATGTAGTACTATTGCACGCACGGCACTTGTAGTCTTGTAGACTGGTACCATAACCATATATATACAAATCTTCACACACACACTTGTATATTATCAAGTACGTACTACGTACACGTAGAGAGTAGGATTACCTGTGGTATATGTACGTACACGCTACATAATAAGTACATACTGCATATCTTTACGTGTGAATGGTAGTGAGTAAGTGTACTGAGTATTGAAAAATAATCATGTATCCTATGACTAACAACAGTAACGATACTTCTTTAATCGATAAAAATTAATAGATATATTAACCATGTTTCCTGCTTGATGTACCGATAAAATTGACACTTTTTATCATCTATTAGTCCACCTGAGACACAAAAATTCTTCTCGCAATTAAAGCGTCATAGCGATTCAATCGAATGGGATAGTCAACTCAACAGAACACAAATGCAATACCGCATTAACAACTATAAATTTACAACCACTGTGTACCACACCATAAGAGACCATTGTTACTTTCATTCACTTCTCAAATTCTCATTCTTCGCCCATCCACAAGATATGTGTGTGTGTGTAGTGTAACTGTGTATACACTGTATACCGCACACGCGCGCCGTCGGCCGCCGCCGCCGCGCCGTCGTAGTACTCGTAGTAGTACTCGCAGTGTACTTTCATCTGCTTTCTGCTTTCTGCTTTGTTCTGTTCTCTTTTCTCTCTCTCTACACTTTGCACACACATGCACTTACCCTGCAAGTATATATGGATCATTTCGCAAAAACCGCAATAAGAATACCATAAAGCTTTTTTCATATATTTATATGTTGAAAAATTATTTCAACTCACAATTGTTTTTAAACCGTGTAAATTAAATTTAACTAAATACATTTTTTAGATTAAATGGAAATAATTTTTTGCATGGCCGTAAGATGAAAAATAAAGAAAAAAAATAAAATAAAACAAGACAATCAAATATTTTATTGAAAAAGTACTAGCCGTTTTAGCCGTTAAGCTGACTTTGGATACTTTTTAATTGCGTGAAATACATAATTTGATTCGTCCAATAGANTTTTTTTTTTTTTTTTTTTTTTTTTTTTTTTTTTTTTTTTGTATTGTGGAGTACAAACGAGGACACCGACAATTTTCTTGCAATCCTAAAGTCTAATGTGGCTACATAGTCACATGGTAGTTGCGAATACTGCATGAGCATTAATTTGCCCCGGTAAAAGGTAAATACCGCAATGTACCTAATAGTATAATAATCTCAATGGTTTTTCAAATTATCGAAGTGGCCGTAGTAGATGAAGGTGCCTGACTATCGTGCGTAATATATACCAAACAGAGTGTCATTGCAAAATCCTCATATTTGGGGCCTTCAGAATCACCAAAAAACGAACATTACGGTCAACGCTCTTTCAATATTTTTTCAAAATATCGTGAGCTTTTGAAAAAGGACACTAGAGCCGGAGCCCAAAGTGTTATAATCTATAGTTTGAAGTTAACACGACATGGAAAAACAAAATTTATATCAAACACTGAAAATCTCATTTTGCACACCTTTAAAAAACATTGCAATTTTTTTTGTGAAGTGATCCACATATATATTTTACTCAAGTCAAGTATAATTGTAAGGCTGCACTGGACGCGCGTGTCTAGTCATTTCCCCTACCCCCGTCGCCCTTTTTTTTTACTACGCCCCCGCGGATTCGTAAAAATCGTAAACCCGTACCTACCAGGTACAAGGGTAAGTATAAGCTGCGCGTGAGAGTTGTGGGCCTCCAACGCACCACCACCGATGACCGCACCAGTTTGCACTGACTCCAAGTATCGGCAAGTTAACTTGAAACATCGGTAATTTTTAAAATAATTGATGCATGTTCTTTCTTTACATGTAATTGCCGTGTTTTTTGGTTCAATGGTGTAAATAATTAAGTCGCTTGAACTTGAAGTGTATATATATAAGTACCAAATATATATAATTAACCAAATTCACGATTATTGTAAAAAATTTACAATTTCCGAACTAAGCATCGGAAGGAAAAAATTAGTAATGTAGAAGTTCAAATAAATAAAAAAATACATGCTTATTTTCCTTTATGTCCGATCAAGATTGATGGGGATTTCGTTATTTTCAATATCGCTTGTGTGATGAATAATGGTGCACATTGTTATTGACAGAGGCTTATTAGATACGTTGGTCAATATTGTGTGTAGTTCTATGAAAAAAAATAAACACCTTGTAGCCCTGCAACAACTTTTTTTTTTTTTTTTTTTTTTTTCGATTTAGAGTGATTTTCCTGCGATTTCCAATGGTTTTACTGTAATCCAAAATAAATTACGTGTAGATGTGCTGTTAATTCATTTTTTACTTATTTCCCTCTTCACCAGCGAAAGTACAAAAAAGCCCCGATTTCAACACAGCAGTTTGCATCCGTCATAAATAGCCGGTTGTAAATAGTTTCTTGTGTTTTAGTTACACTTATTCTACTTTTTTTTAACATACCATCGATAGAAGAAATTGCTCGGGACCAGCGCTAGCTCGATGTGCTTCCTCGTAATAAATTACCGAATACATACATATATATTTTTTTTAAATATTGATTCACTTATGGATAAAACACTTTTGTAAAAGTTAACTTTTTTTTTTCTTCAACATAATGGTTCAATCGTGAATTAACGTTTTTTGAGGGGTTCTACAGAGTTTTTTAATTGTTCGCAGTAAATTTAATCGATAGTCGAAAAAAAAGGTTTAAACTCGATTGTCAAAACAAAAGCGCTACAGCTGATTCAGAGCGTAAAGTTTTTACATATGTACATACATTTACGTAGTCACGTACATTATTACTCTTACTCTGATTAAAATTTTTTTTTAATTAAAAAAAAAAAAAATTCGTTAATATCATACCACACCTATAAGTATGCAATGGTTTTAATTTCTAAAGTATCTGATGTATTGGACGTATACATACTGGTTTTGCGTTACAACCAAAACCTTAATATATTTTTCAGATCGCAATTACAGCAGATGACAAAAAATAAAGCTCGTAAAATTGTTGAACATGTAAATATAAAGTCTTATTCCACAAAAGTATTTGTGCTTACCTAATACTCCAAAAAAAATACTGATCATAGAGGAATAAGGGTAGCTTTTTTGTACATAAATTTATGGGTACAAGTGAGAAATATGTGATTTAAATGACTTGTATCGGTTTATACATTTGTTAGAGTCGATGAAAAATTGAAAAATGCAGATTTTTTTTTTAGTTTTATCAAGGAACTTTATTTCATATCAAGTTATAAACAAAGTGTGTGTGATTGTACAGCTATATTCACATATTGTAATTCGAATATTTTACAATTCATGTGTTTGATAATGCAGTGTAACAGTCAAACAATTATAAATACAGATGACTAGAAAATATGTTACATTACGGACAGTCGAAATTTTAATTTAAAGTCTAAGTGTAGTTGCGATCGTATGACACATACGCACGACTGCCGTGCAAATAATAATTTCAAAAAACACCAATTGGTGCCGTAACACAAGTTGTACTAAGAAAAAGAAAAACTTAAATTTTAAACAGATTGTTCTCCTCAAACATACCTTTGTCATGATGCTGCTTCGTTAAAAAAAAAAAAAAATACGTATAATCATCACAAATCAACATTAAGTATACATACAATAAAAGATGGACGAATTATTAAAAAAAAAATTTTTTTTCCTACCACGTTAAATTCCGAGAAATTTCCGGAATGTGCAACTATTACAGTGAAATGCAATGAACAATTGTTTTTCTCAATTGATTATACAGTCTATAGGCAAAAAGGACTCTCTAAAGGATAGGATAATTTCAATCAATTTCTTTGAAAAGCATAAAATTAAATTATTTGTATCCATATTAACAATGAACAAGCCATATTCTCTAATTCATGCCCCTATGATGGATTGATCAAATTAAAAATAGGAGGATTATTTCCAAAGGATACAATACACATTGTTGAACGTACAAAAGCAAATACAAAATATTGTCTACATTTAAGTAATACTCCGCTAGGCATAAAAAAAATTACTAGAATGGCGTTAATTTGTATACTTTGAGTTGAATTTTTCATTTTTAACCACACGATCGAAGAAAAAACGGATTAAAGCCCTAATGTTGTATATTTTAAACATATTTTTAACAATAAGGCTATTTAAAGTCGTACGAAAAAAATTGTAAACAGCTTTACTAGTCTTTACATTTACTGTTGAGATGACATTTAATGTCATTTCGATTAAATCAATCTCAATCTCTATATCCTGGCAACTTTGAAAAATTTTTTTTCTTAATTTTTTTTCTACACAGACTAGTACATTTCATACATAATTTACAAAATGAGTCTAATTACTAAACTCTTATTCACTGAATTTTAATCAAGCATTAATAATGTACTGATGAAAAAAGTTAAAAAAAAAACGTTATCTGCTGAGCACATTATGCCGTATTGAAATGACTTTTAATAATTGATTTTTATATGACAATAATTTATAAACGTAATACTGAGCAAATATATACAACACTTATTTATGATACAACTATATTTTAATTGTATTTTTGTTTTGTACGTCACAGTAATTTTGTTACTAATACTTATTCATAAAAATTTTGTTTGAATTTCTGAGAAAATTTCCTAATTTTAGTTAAGAAATTCCAAAATTGATATGATACTTCTTTTTCCGTCCAAACAGTTAATCAGTTAAAATATTGTACATATTGTATTTTACGAATAATTAGTTTATGCCTTGGCTTTTTTGTGACAGACAATATTACACAATGTACCGTTTGCTATGCTCAGTATTTTTTATTTAAATAGAAGTGGGCAGTGATATTATTTATTATCATAGCCTATTTACACGCCACTTAACGATAAAGCATGTAACACCCACGCATTGCTTAAAAAAAAAAATCTAAATTAATCATCGCAATTACAATTAAGTTATGTTATTTGTTGAAAACTTTTGGGCAATCAAAGAGTCTTGCTAGTACCTCCAACTAATTGACTAACAATTTGTACGCGTGCGAGTAACAGGTGTAGAAATTTAAACGCGATTAAATTTAATTTTTTTAAATTAATATATTCAACTTTACCAGTATCTGTACTTCTTCACGCAATCATTCCCCAAATCTACTACTATAAGATGATCGTCAGGTAAGACTGCAATCCCTGATGGACGACGTAATTTAGAACTGTGAGAATCAATTTCAGACATGAGATTTCCATCATCGATTCTTAATACTTGAATAACCGTACGTCCTTTTTCAGTGTAAGATGCCAATATTCGCCCTTTAGCATCAATAGAGATTCCTCCATATCTACCCTTACCTTAATTAAAAAATTTCATGAAAATTATATTTTTCAAAAAATTTGTGTGAGGTACAAAATTTTTTTTTCTCAAATTCGTACTTTTAGCATCGGTATTGATTTCGTCAGAAAAGTCGCCTTTTGCTGAAAATACTTGGATATGTGAGCCTGCTACCAAGATTTCACCTGCTGGACCAACGGCAACCGATATTATTAACTTGAACGTATTTTTTTTGCCCACCTGAAATATTCAAAAATTTAGTATAGGTTTTACAATTGTTAAAAAAAAGTATTAATACTCCATACCTGAAATAAGACTTTTCCATCACAATCAAATACAAATACACAACACTGTCCATTATCGGCAACTAAAATATGTCCGTAATTTCTGTCTACAGCTACATCGATTGGTTCCTTGATAAAAAAAAGTTTTTTTATTATGATTTTTAAATACGCTTAAATGTACGTGTGTAAGTTATTGATACCAAATGAATGATAATAGTAATTAAAATCTGCAACCAAAAATCTATTGTAAAAATTAATTAACAAGAACTTACTTGAAAGGCGTTGTGCGAGAAAGATTTAATTGTATCTCCTAACACTGATATTTCTGAAACAGTTTTCGTCCTCCAGTTTACAATAACTAATCCGTGCTCGGAAATCGCAATACCCGTACAACTTCGTCCTTCCAGACCTTCATTGGTAATGTGCCTTTGAAATTCTAAATTTTCATTAAGCACCTAAAAATAAAAACAATAAATCAACTTTTTCATTGTGATTTTTAAAAATGGAAATTCATAGATTTTTCGATACACTGGAATTTACCTTTATTCGAGAATTTCCAGTGTCTACAATATAAACCATTTTATTATCGTCAATAGCAATAGCCACTGGTTGCAGAAATTCATCTTTCCCAGAACCCCTGGTGCCATAAACTCTAACTGGCTCGTTATGCTCAGTAACGTCAAAGAACAAAGGATAATCTTTGATAGACCTTTCAAAAACTGATATTCTTAGGGCATAGCGACCGGCAACGGTGGGTCTAAATCTAACTTCGTACGTTCCATTTTCAAGATCTTTGACTTCCGTTTCAGTATGGGCACTAGAGTTTTGCGATTGATTACTGTTGGCAAGTGATAGTTCTGCTGTAATAGGATCGCCTCCGGCATTTCGCGGATGGCCGTGATAATCAACTGTATCCACTAATACATTGCCCTGTAATTTTACTACCGCTGTGTCTTTCAACTTTGCCCGACATAAACCTAAAATTTTACATCATTAAATACTTTTTTTTTTTAATTTTTTTATTTATTTATGATAAACGTATAGTTTTGAGAAATGAAACCTGGTAACGTTGTACTAGATCTCACTCTTCCAAAAACTTTAAGTGCTTGCTCCAAATTAAAAAGTGCATCGTTGTAATTGAACTCCGCGGTAATGAATGCATTTTCTCGTGGCTCACTGAGCGCAACTGCTGCATCCAATTGATCAGACAAGCTGCCAATCCTTTGAGTAATATTTCGTACTTCAACCTTAAAATTATTCAAAATTAAATTTGAGTTTTTTTAAATAGCAATGCTTTATAAATGGAAAAAAAAATTTAATAAATAAATAAACCTGATACTGGAGTCCTTCGCATTCACGTTCGACTTTATTCTTTTCAGCCTCTATGAGTGTGTGCTGTTCTTCTAAAACATGCTTCTTATCACGAGTTGCTGCAGTTATAGCCGCTTGAAGTTCAGATTTTCGCCTTTCAACTTTAGCTACGATATTATTAAATTCAATATCCACAGCTTCCAAACACTTTTGCTTGGCAGTATCCAATCTCTGAAGCTCTGTTCTTACAGAGTCTTGTGCTTGTGTCAGCTAGAAGATGTTAAATACATTAATCCTTTTTGTTAAACTAATTTCAAGGCAAAAGTAAAAAAAAAAAAAAATAATAATAATAATAATAATTACCTTTGAAATACATTCATTGGCTTTGTACAGTAGTATCTCAGACATGCGTTTTATAGCTATGCTAAATGGAATTATAGTATGTTCGGTACAACCAGGTGACGTATTTGCATGATTTCCTCCTGTGCACACTGTACAAAACACTGTATCGCAGGTTTCACAAAATAATAACTCTTGATTAATGTGCACAGAACATTTTGGAATAACTTCTCTGCGTTGTCTGGACATTAAATCTAATAACTGATTAACAAGAAAACTTGGAGGTAAAGCTGGAACACCACCTCGTGGTATTGTTATCAATTCGCGGCAAATTGGACATCGAAACGTTCCAGCCTCGCGCGTCTGCGAGGCTGCGATTCTTGTGAGGCAGTGTAAGCAAACCTGTAGACGATAAATGCATTATTTGACTATCTAGAGGAAACATATGTAAAAACAAGTATTGTTTATAGAACAAGCAAAAATAATTCTTCTACTCACAGTGTGAGAACAGGGCAACAACTTTGGAGTATGTTCGCTTCCATCGTACATACAGAGGCAGGTACCACATGTTAGAAAACTTTCATTAAAGTCCTCATAGTTGATGCTTACTGTTTCCACAAGCATTGAGCTCATGGTGACCATCCGCTCCCCCAACCGTGTCCTGCAAAAAAATAAATTTACTTTAAAATTATGTTCTCTTAAAAGTAAATGTAGATGATCATGTTGTATTTATAAAACAAACATTATTTTTTGACATGTAGGAAAAAAATAGTCAATTAATTCAAAAATTGTATTTTGTGTGATCTTGATTGACAAAAAATTTTAATATTTAATAATAATTTCATCAAAAATTGTTTTTGACAATTGCACAGAAATAATTTCAAAAAGAAAACAAAAACAAATAATTATACAGAGCAAAGATATAGGTGAGCAAATAGATATAAAAAAAATTGTCCAAAGGTGGTAAAAAAAAAACTTACTGTATGGCCAAGCGTAGTGCTTCCATAATTGACAAGTGATCCTGAACGATTAAAAATTGGCACTTTTAGAACCAACTATTTATAATATGATGAAGATCAAAGCTACAAAAATCGTGCGTTAATTGAAAAATACCTTCAAGAAACAACGAAAAAACGACTGTGGTCTAAAAAAAATTGAAACACAGAGATGTAGACTTGATGACAATTGTCAAAGTTTGGCTGTCATTTGATGAATGTATAGTAAATTTCAGACAGCATTGAAAGTAACGATTGGAGGGTCACAGGCTGTGTGAGTTGCTAAGCCGAGGCTAAAGGTATATAGGTATGTCTGCAAGCAAGATTCCAATTCCAAGTCATACGAGAACGAGAAGGTAAGATCGCGTAATTTGAGTCTTAGGCAACAACCAAGGCTACTGTAGTACAAGAATATACCCTACACTATTGCTCTCGCTTCTCTTCATTGCAGATGTCAATGACGATGATGACCATGTTATTTATTATTATTGTAATTATGATTATTTACAATCTATGCTGTGTTATGTTATGTTGAATTAAACAACAACAGTAACAATCGTGACGAAAAAAAGTGCCACTGCCAGCAATTTTGTGCAAATAATGAAAAGGAGTCAGGTAGATTTACAAGAGAAGCGTCGACGAGACGTGGGGGTGGACAGCGAAAGAAAGAGAATGAAAGAAGAGAGAGAGAGAGTTATTTCTCGAGAAAAAAAAACAAAGGAGCAACACAGCAACATAGCGTAGCAGCAGCAGCAGCACAACAGCAGTATAGTATAGCACATGAAAAAAAAAAAAAAAAAAAATGTAAAAAAAAAAAAAAAAAAAAAAGGGCATGCACACTGCAACGCACAATTTTTGCATTCGTAATCCAGTCAGGTACAACACAAAACACAAAGCACTGCACCGCACACTCTCTTTCAAAAGGTACTTTTTTACTGACGGTGTTAGGCAGGTAGGTATATGCGTATGTAATATAATATGTGTGTCCCGCTACAGCGAGAGCAAGAGGCGGCGAGAGCTGCACAGCAACGGCTACTCGAATTCCCTTACTGCTCACTCCGCGGAGTATTCGTATATACCCAGTATATACTCCGACGAAGTCCAAACTCCAAAAGAGATATGTTTTCTTCAGCGTAAAAAGCGCGATACCTAAATATTGATGATTAAACGAACTTCTAGCGAAGTTCAATCATAATTATACGAGTACCTTGTTCGAGGATATTACTTTGTAGTACCTCTTCCAGTCGCTAGACGTCGCCACCGTTCAGAGAAAAAATTATTTTTTTTTTTTTTTTTTTTTTTTTTTTTTTTTTTTTTTTTTTTTTTTTTTTTTTTT